TTTTAGGCTAATTTACATTCAGTAGTTCGCCATTGCATTTTGGACGGTGGGCTTCTCAATATCAGTCGAAATCAACACAAGGCACAAGGCCAGAATCCTGCCATTTTGAAGCGCGTTCGCAACACTCAAGTCACGGATGCCGAGGCCTGAGCATAAACAGAAGGATTAAAATAGTATAGAAGTTTCTCAGAGTATGACATATGGAGATATTTAAACAAACAATCAACCAGTCAGGTCTACCAACAGCGCTAGTGAATTTGAAAGAGACATTACTGGAGTTAAAGCCAGTACCAATCCTCTATGAGTCGGTCTTACAAAAGAAGTTCCACTTACTGTTGGATTTCAGCCAAAAGTTCATCAGAAGTATCTACAGCAAAAGGGAAACAGCCCATTTGTGTGACAGCCAGAGTGATGTCCTTGACTAGCTGTTTCCCATCATTTCTGAAACTGAAAATAGCAAAAGGCAACAATAAAGTCTGTCCTGTTTCCTTTCTATCTCTCCTGTGACAATCTGAAAATAATGTTCGCTCGTTTGTTTGTTCCTCTCTTTCATCAACCTCTTTCTACTTTATTTTCTTTTACTGCAATTTTATTTCTAATCTAATCCTTGTTATTGTTTGATTCTTATCAAATAGTTACATATACCATTCTGAAACACTGTTGAGTTGGTACATGACAAGGCAAATGTAGTCAAAGCCCTTTGGGAACAAGCAACAGAATTAGTAGAGAAAGAAAATTATTATGACCTTGAGAATGAGGCACCTGGGTGTAACCAGAGGGTTTGGCCGGCTCACTACACTCAGAGGAAAGGCAAGACAGGCATTTAACCAGATTGTGACCGGTACAATCAGTATTGGAACATTGCGCTGGCTGATGAAAATGAGGAAGGAGCATGCATGGGAATGCCCCGAGTGCTGTGATGTCAATTCTTGACTCAACTCAACTCTCAACTCTCTTTAGAACCAGCACCTGCAAGTTCTATATTCTGGCACTGGGTGTTCAAGTCATAAGTCAGTAGGTGATGAGTAAGAAGTGACTCTTTAAGTCACTGGGTGCTCAAGTCATAAGTCAGTAGTTGATAAGTCAGAAGTGACTTTAAGTCACTGTGTGCTCAAGTCATAAGTCAGTAGTTGTTAAGTAAGAAGGGACTCTTTAAGTCACTGTGTGCTCAAGTCATAAGTCAGTAGTTGATAAGTAAGAAGGGACTCTTCAAGTCACTGGGTGTTCAAGTCATAAGTTAGTAGTTGTTAAGTAAGAAGGGACTCTTTAAGTCACTGGGTGCTCAAGTCATAAGTCAGTAGTTAAGAAAGAAGGGACTCTTTAAGTCATTAGGTGTTCAAGTCCTAAGTCAGTAGCTGATAAGTGACTTTTTAAGTCACTAGGTGTTCAAGTCAGAAGTCAGTAGCTGATAAGTAAGAAGTGATTCTTTAAGTCACTGGGTGCTCAAGTCATAAGTCAGTAGGTGATAAGTGACTTTTTAAGTCACTGGGTGTTCAAGTCAGAAGTCAGTAGCTGATAAGTAAGAAGTGATTCTTTAAGTCACTGGGTGCTCAAGTCATAAGTCAGTAAGTGATAAGTAAGAAGTGACTCTTTAAGTCACTGGGTGCTCAAGTCATAAGTCAGTAGGTGATAAGTAAGAAGTGACTATTTAAGTCACTGGGTGCTCAAGTCATAAGTCAGTAGGTGATAAGTAAGAAGTGACTCTTTAAGTCACTGGGTGCTCAAGTCATAAGTCAGTAGTTGATAAGTAAGAAGTGACTCTTTAAGTCACTAGGTGTTCAAGTCATAAGTCAGTAGCCGGTAAGTAAGAGGTGACTCTTTAAGTCACTAGGTGCTCAAGTCATAAGTCAGTAGTTAAGTAAGAAGGGACTCTTTAAGTCACTAGGTGTTCAAGTCATAAGTCAGTAGTTAAGTAAGAAGGGACTCTTTAAGTCACTAGGTGTTCAAGTCATAAGTCAGTAGCTGATAAGTGACTTTTTAAGTCACTGGGTGTTCAAGTCAGAAGTCAGTAGCTGATAAGTAAGAAGTGATTCTTTAAGTCACTGGGTGCTCAAGTCATAAGTCAGTAGGTGATAAGTGACTTTTTAAGTCACTGGGTGTTCAAGTCAGAAGTCAGTAGCTGATAAGTAAGAAGTGATTCTTTAAGTCCCTGGGTGCTCAAGTCATAAGTCAGTAGGTGATAAGTAAGAAGTGACTCTTTAAGTCACTGGGTGCTCAAGTCATAAGTCAGTAGGTAATAAGTAAGAAGTGACTCTTTAAGTCACTGGGTGCTCAAGTCATAAGTCAGTAGCTGATAAGTAAAAAGTGATTCTTTAAATCACTAGGTGTTCAAGTCATAAGTCAGTAGCCGGTAAGTAAGAGGTGACTCTTTAAGTCACTAGGTGTTCAAGTCATAAGTCAGTAGCCATACTTAAGCTTAAGAAGCTACAACAATGCTAACTTTTGTTGTCATGTGTCTTCAGCTACTAGCCATACTTGAGTCTGAAATGATGTTTAGACATCTGTGCCACCATTAAGTTATTTCCATGAGAATTATGGTCATTTCTGGTATGTTTTATTTGACCAAATGTCACTACCTTCATCTCATCGGCTCTTCTTCTTGTGATCACTTGACCGCTTGTAAGAGTTCTCTCACAGTTCCATACCATCTGAGCACAGTGTTGACTCACTGTTGACTCACAGTATTCTCTTCCTAATGGGCTGTTCAAGGGCATTCTTGCAGGATATGTTCTGTAGTCTGCTCACACAGCCCACATAAGTACAACAGTGAACTGAACTACTTAGACAAAGCATGTGCATTTGCTTCATTAACTCACTTTAACTAAACAATTATGTATTTATACTGCACTTCAACTAAACAATTCTGTATTTATATTGCATGTTAACGAAACAATTCAGTATTCATATTGCATGTTAACTAAACAATTCAGTATTCATATTGCACTTTAACTAAACAATCCTCTATTTATACTGCACTTTAACTAAACAATTCTGTATTTATATTGCATGTTAACTAAACAATTCTGTATTTATACTGCACTTTAACTAAACAATTCAAAACTCAGCAAGACTAGAAGAATGCTACTCCCTCCTAGACCAGACAAGTGGAACACCTTGTACGGAGGAAAAGAACAGCTTGTGAAAACATGCAAATTTCACTACATGGCATTAGGCCAGAGGGCAAAAGCTTAGCGCCACTAAACAATTCTGTATTTATATTGCATTCAAAATAAACAATTCTGTTTTCATTTTGCCTATAAAACAAATATAACTGAAACTAAAAACAGAAAAGGAAACTTTAAAAAAAAAAAAAAAAAATTTCGAACTCACTGAGAGAAAACATTCTCTAGAAATTTTGGATGCAGAAAGTGAACAAGTGTCAGCATGAGTATGCTGTCTGATGTTGCCAGATTGGGCAGGCATTGATATGTCTCCTGAAACAGAAATTACATAAAATTATTCTCAAGTGGCATGGGAATATAACGTCCAATTCCTAAAGTATCACAAAGAGAAAGCAATTTACTGATTCAATGTGCCAGGCTGGATAAGAACAGAAATGTACAAAATGTTATTAATTAAATTACTTATAAAAAACAGTAACATTCATTCAAGAACAAGCTAAACCTGGAAATGAAGGGTCAATGACTACATCAATTTCCCATGGGCCGATCTAAGGCAGCCACAAAGTGAAATCTGTGGGTAATGACTGCCCCTGAGTATCCTGTGCTGGATTTGTCTAACAGCGGAAAACCTACAACATGTGGAGAACACATGACCTAATCCCAGTCAGAAATGTGCTGATCCATGACCTGGTGACCTCCTGATGTGCTTCTCCATAGCTATAAAGTTCCAGAGCTGGATTTGAACACCCGACAGGTTTCTGTGCTAGAAGGGAGGGAAAACTCTGCAACACAGTGCCCACAGAGATGGCAGCACTTGGTTACTGGGCAGGGAGCGATGTCTCTCCAACGATCTAACTTTAAGAAATGCAAGTAACTATTAGGGTTCAAATCATCTAGTTTTAATTTCTGTTCCATAGCATTCTCCAGCTAGAGAGCCAGTCAACCAATCAGCCAACCAATAAATCATGAAATCAGACGAATGCTAGGAATAAAGCCAGTCTTACAGGTCATCAAACAACAACAAATGAAGTGGTTTGGACACCTAACAAGAAAGCCCTGGTACTATCCGCCACAGCGAGCCACACTAAAACGTTACAACAGGTATAGAGCGAGTGGAAGACCTTGGAAAATATGGAGTGATGGCATTAAGAACAGCCTTACAGAAATGAACATCAGTCTTAATAGTGCTCTTGACAGAGCTTTTCAACAAACATTACATCTTCCCTCGACACTTCAATGAGGTAAAAGGTGGAAGAGAAGAGGAGGAAAGAAGAATAAATCAGCCAACACACCAACCAGCTAGCCAAGTCAGCCCAACTAAGCAATAAACCAGCCAACACACCAACCATTTAGCCAAGTCAGCCATCTGCCATCTAGCCAAGGCAGCCATCTAGCCAAGTCAGCCATCATCCAACTAAGCAATAAACCAGCCAACACACCAACCATCTAGCCAAGTCAGCCATCTGCCATCTAGCCAAGGCAGCCATCTAGCCAAGTCAGCCACCTGCCATCTTCTAACTAAGCAACCAACCAGCTTGCCAAGTCAGCTATCTGCCATCATTCAATAGCAACATAAAAGCCAGGAAAACAACTAACCAAACAATGAGCCATGAGGTCATAGACAATCTTCACTCCCAACTGTAAACTAAATAACCTAACTTGACACACTATCTTCACAGCTGCTCCTACCCATCAGCAAGACACTTGATGAAGATGATGATGATAACAGGGATGACAATAATGATGATGATGAATCAGACTACACCCCAAAACAACACAACTTTATATGGTGATTACAAGTGCCAGTAGCCAAACCACTCCTTTCCCTCTCCCTCAATATTACGCTGACAGACAGATCAATTATATTTCTAGGCCCACCTTCGTGAAGACTGTCACAGCCATCTGCAGAGAGGCCATCAAACCCTGGGGAGAGATCAGAGACCACTCTGGAGGCAGGAACTCTTCTGAAGGCTGTGTTTTATCTTCCACTCCCTCAATGTCATGTATTGGCATCTCATTATCCGGATTTAGAACTCTGGTCCCTTGTGCAATTCTGTGCCACATTGCACTCCAGATTCCTGACTCAATGTATAAGCTGGCAACAGGACTTTCAGCCTAAACATGGGTGAGAAAACATTGACAGGTCAAGGATGATTATCTGGAACTATTGGTCATAGCCTGTTCAAGTTATTCAAATTTATTCCAGAACTACTAAACCAGAAAATTCTTCTTTGCCTGCCCTTTGATTCCCCCACCCACCCCAATGGAGTATTGGCCCTCTAGCAACTCATACTTTATCTCCTACAATTGTCTGACATCTGCAGCTTCTGCCATGTTCTCCCAATTCTATTCATCTGTCTTTCAATGTCTTTTGTTACATTTTTAATCTCTTTCTCTTCTCTCTCTCTTTCTCTCTCTACCTACATAACTGTCTGTCTATTTATCTACTATCTGTCTATCTATCCATCTTCTATCTGTATACGTGTCCGTGTATAATTGTGTGTTTGTGCATGTCTGTGTGTGGCTTCGTGTGTATCTGTGTGTGTGTGTCTATTTCATAATGTCTGCATGTATCTCTTTGTGTTTTGTATGTGTCTGTATGTCTGTCTGCATGTATGACTGTGTTTGTCTGTGTTTATCTCTGTGTATATCTCTGTGTGTGTCCATATGTGTGTCTCTGCCTGTATGTGTCTCTGCCTGTGTGTGTGCCAGTGGCTGCGTGTGTGTATGTCTGTGTGTGTTGGTGTCTGTGTGCATCTGTTTGTGTTTGTAGGTGTCTGTGCAGTTGAGTGTGTGAATATGTGTGTATGTATGTATGTGTCTAGGTGTGTGGCTGCATGTGTGTCTTTGAGTGTGTGCATTTGTAAGAGTAGGTCTGTGTGTGTGACTGTGTCTGTCTGTACGTACATACTTATACATACATACGTCCGTGCGTGCGTGCGTGTGTGTGTGTATGTATGTATGTATGTATATATGCATGCATGCATGCATGTATGTATGTATGTATGTATGTATGTATGTATGTATGTATGTGTGTGTGTGTATGTATGTATGTATGTATGTATGTATGTATGTATGTATGTATGTATGTATGTATGTATGTATGTATGTATGTATGTATGTATGTATGTATTTATGTATGTGGATATGTGTGTGTATGTATGTGTGTGTGAGTAAGTGGGTTTGCGTGTGTATGTGGGTATGTGGGTTTGCGTGTGTATGTGTGTGCATGTGCACGCATTTTCCCACCCATGCTTTTGTATTTTTGCTTGATATTTATAATATGCATTTTTGTATATGAATATAATATGCTCTATCAATAAACTTCAACTGCTGTGCGAAAGATGGGTGTTTGGAAGGGCCGAATGTAAGATAGGCCTGATTGCCTGGCTGTCTGTCTATCCTGTGTCTTGCAGCTTTAAGAGACAGGTAGCTAATCAATAGAAAAATACAAATATATGCCAGAAAGGCGTGTAAATGGAATCAGTTTCATGAAAGATGTTTCAACTAATTATTGGTTTCTCTAGCAGTCAAAGGCTCCACTAACACACACACACGTATGCATCCCCCCCCCCCCCTTAACCACACATGCATGCATCCCCCCTCCAATCCCCCACACCCAACTACACATACACAAAGATAAAAAGAATATTCCAGAACAAAGGGCCAACACTTACCCCACCTAGCAATTCCCTCAGCAACATTAAAAGGCCATCCAGGACCCCATACTCAAAGGGTGGCCTCACAAAAATCTGGCAACGATAAAAACACAATTAAAGATTTTCTTCTTCACTTCCTCTTTTACCGCTTCAGGCGTTGAGGGAGATGTAACGTCCTGCTTCAGGCGTTGAGGAGATATAACGTCCTGCTTCAGGCGTTGAGAGAGATATAACGTCCTGCTTCAGGCGTTGAGAGAGATATAACATCCTGTTTCAGGTGTTGAGGGAGATATAACATCCTGCTTCAGGCGTTGAGGGAGATATAACGTCCTTCTTCAGGTGTTGAGAGAGTTATAACGTCCTACTTCAGGTGTTGAGAGAGTTATAACATCCTGCTTCAGGCGTTGAGGGAGATATAACGTCCTTCTTCAGGTGTTGAGAGAGTTATAACGTCCTACTTCAGGTGTTGAGAGAGATATAACGTCCTTTTTCAGGTGTTGAGAGAGTTATATCGTCCTACTTCAGGTGTTGAGAGAGTTATAACGTCCTACTTCAGGTGTTGAGAGAGTTATAACGTCCTACTTCAGGTGTTGAGGGAGATATAACGTCCTGCTTCAGGTGTTGAGAAAGATATAATGTTCTGCTTCTTGCTTTTCTGGTCGCATCGACTTTAGACACATTGGCTGTTGTAGAGTTTTTCTGATGTTATCTTTCCATATTGATCACCATCAACTTCATTCTCTACGTCTTTCTCCTTTTTTCAGGTATGCCTTTTATGGTATGGCATCACAAGCATTCTCTTTAAGTGGGCAAACCATTTGATTTACTGTCTTCTGATGTAATTTACAACTGGTTCTTTTACAACCTCATTCATGATTTTATCTCTTCTGATCTCTCCTGCAGACTGTCGCGGACACCTTATTTCCACGTTTACAAATTTTCTTTATTGATTTGTATTGAATATACAGGATCAATGATGACAATATACAGGATCAATGATGACAATATACAGGATCAATGATGACAATATACAGGATCAATGATGACAATATACAGGATCAATGATGACAATATACAGGATCAATGATGACAATATACAGGATCAATGATGACAATATACAGGATCAATGATGACAATATACAGGATCAATGATGACAATATACAGGATCAATGATGACAATATACAGGATCAATGATGACAATATACAGGATCAATGATGACAATATACAGGATCAATGATGACAATATACAGGATCAATGATGACAATATACAGGATCAATGATGACAATATACAGGATCAATGATGACAATATACAGGATCAATGATGACAATATACAGGATCAATGATGACAATATACAGGATCAATGATGACAATATACAGGATCAATGATGACAATATACAGGATCAATGATGACAATATACAGGATCAATGATGACAATATACAGGATCAATGATGACAATATACAGGATCAATGATGACAATATACAGGTGTTAACACAAATTCACCCAGAAGACCCTAACCAGCCCATCTCCCAGTCTACTAGTGAAGTTCCATCTCCACAGTCACAGTGCTGCCGAGTCCTCCAAAAACCACACAGTGTGTGAGATCATGACTGGAACTCCACATTTAAGGCAAGGCAGCACTTAGCCTGTGGCAGTTTATGAACTAAACCATCAGGAATGTGTCAAGGCTTGAGTCAGGGTCAAGGCTTGATTCAGGGTCAAGGCTTGAGACAGGGTCAAGGCTAGTCCCCATCGTGCAACAACAAACAGATTGAAAAAGAAAAAAAATCACAAATGTCACATCAAACATGGCACACACAGAATGTCCCACCTGATCAAGATCTGTAAATACGGCCAGACAAGCCTGCATCATCTCAAAGGGCTGAACTTCAGCATTGACCCCACAAGCAACCATCAGGCTAAACAGCAGGGCAGAAGCAGCCTGTATGAAAGTCAATAAAATGACTGAAAGGGCAACACCATCACAGACTTTTTTGTTCTGTCTTGTTTCAATCATGAAGCACAGGTCCAACTCAAGCTAACTTCTGCCATCTCATGCAGTCCCTCCATGTACTTCCCATATCCTTAATCACTATTTTATATCTCAAGGGAATGACATTTTCAGTATGAAGGGGATCATCTGCTTTCATGGCTAACTGTTTCTCCCAGAAAACAATGACCTTTCACACAACTGTAAAAATGAGTCTCAACGGAAAAGACTTTCAGCCGCAGAATCCAAACTGGCAGAGTCAGCCACAAAAGTCAACATGGCAGACAAAAAGTGAAATTACCGATGCTTCTACAGGAATGAACGAACGATGGAACGAACGAACTTTATTTTCAAAGGGTTACAAATTAGGCATACAGGCCTGTCTTGCATTCGGCCCTTCCAAACTTCCATCTTTCGCACAGCAGTTGTATTTCATCAATGAAGCATGTTATATTTATGTAATATTATGAATGAAAGTCTGTAACTTATTGATGCCTGTACTGGTAGAGGATGTACTGGTAGAGGATGTACTGTTAGAGGATGCACTTTTAGAGGATGTACTGGTAGAGGATGTACAGGTAGAGGATGTACTGGTAGAGGATGTACTGGTAGAGGATGTACTGGTAGAGGATGTACTGGTAGAGGATGTACAGGTAGAGGATGTACTGGTAGAGGATGTACTGGTAGAGGATGTATAGGTAGAGGATGTACTGGTAGAGGATGTACTGGTAGAGGATGTACTGGTAGAGGATGTACTGGTAGAGGATGTACAGGTAGAGGATGTACAGGTAGAAGATGTACTGGTAAAGGATGTACTGGTAGAGGATGTACTGGTAGAGGATGTAAAGGTAGAGGATGTACTGGTAGAGAATGTACTGGTAAAGGATGTACAGGTAGAGGATGTACTGGTAGAGGATGTACTGGTAGAGAATGTACTGGTAGAGGATGTACTGGTAGAGGATGTACTGGTAGAGGATGTACTGGTAGAGGATGTACTGGTAGAGGATGTACTGGTAGAGGATGTACAGGTAGAGGATGTACTGGTAGAGGATGTACTGGTAGAGGATGTACTGGTAGAGGATGTACTGGTAGAGGATGTACTGGTAGAGGATGTACAGGTAGAGGATGTACAGGTAGAGGATGTACTGGTAGAGGATGTACTGGTAGAGGATGTACAGGTAGAGGATGTACAGGTAGAGGATGTACAGGTAGATGATGTACAGGTAGAGGATGTTCTGGTAGAGGATGTACTGGTAGAGGATGTACAGGTAGAGGATGTACTGATAGAGGATGTACTGGTAGAGGATGTACTGGTAGAGGATGTACTGGTAGAGAATGTACTGGTAAAGAATGTACTGGTAGAGGATGTACTGGTAGAGGATGTACTGGTAAAGAATGTACTGGTAGAGGATGTACTGGTAGAGGATGTACTGGTAGAGAATGTACTGGTAAAGGATGTACTGGTAAAGAATGTACTGGTAGAGGATGTACTGGTAGAGGATGTACTGGTAAAGAATGTACTGGTAGAGGATGTACTGGTAGAGGATGTACTGGTAGAGGATGTACTGGTAGAGGATGTACTGGTAGAGGATGTACTGGTAGAGGATGTACTAGTAAAGAATGTACTGGTAGAGAGTAACTTACTGTGTGGCTCGCCAGAGTGGAGTCTAAAAACAAGCCGACCATCATGGCAGCTGCATCAGCCAACCTGAAGAAAAAACAAGAAACAATGGAACAGAGAAGAGATTAATTTTAACAGTAAAATCCTATCTTTAAAACCAAAAATGCAATCTACCAGTAAGAGATCTATGGAAACCAAAAGAACTATAATCTTTTATCAAACTGGAAATGTTAACGTTAAATCATTGTTTCTGCATAGAGCAAGAACTTCCTCTTCTGAACTTAATCCTTTCATTGGAGCATAGGCCCTCAACCAACTCACGGCAGGTTGTAAATCCTGAACTATTGCAGGCCGCTCACCCCATATCTTCTCGATCTTTTCTGTTCTCTGATTTTGTCAACATGTATAGTATTTAACGGCAGCCAAATTTGTGTAGCTCTCTCCCACAGTTCCACACTGGTAATTCTATCACACTGTCTATTATGTGCAGGTAGCAGATAAGAGAATAACTAAAACAACTACTCATAACTTCCAGCAGTGACCGCGTAAAAGGTCCTTTGGAGAATGTGGCTCTAATCACAGTCTGCCTGAAAGAAACCCAGGCTCTCACCAGCTCTACCACCTCGGCCACTTTCATATCCATGCAGTCACTTATATCATGTGCTCATCTTTGTGTTGGTCATTTTTGTCATTTCTCATTATGTTTTCAGCATACATATTGAATAGGTAAAGTGAGAGACTGCACCCCTGCCTCACTCCCATTTGCACCCTGAACCAATCTGATGTTTCTCCGTCTGCTGTGATGGCTGCTTAACTTTCAATTAACACACCAAATGTGCTAGAAACCCTCTATTTCCCATAATACTCCACAGTTTCTGATGTTGGACACAATCAAAGGCTTTGCTATAATCAGTGAAACAAGCATGAAGATCTATGCTGGATTCTCTAGAATTTTTAACAATTATTCTCATGTTATAAAATGTGATCCCTAATTCCCCTGCCCTGCCTGAAACCTGCGTGTGCTTCATGTAGCTCATATTGTAGTTTCCTTTCAATTCTCTTCATGATAATTGGTAACAGGATTTTGCTAGCATGGCTTATTAATGTGATGGTTTGGTAGCTGGAGCACAGTTGCAGTTTACTTTCTTTGGAAGAGGGATACAGATTGTTCTTTTCCACGCCCTAGCCCTGATGACACTGTTCCAGATCTTCGTGCACAGTGCATGGTAGATTCGGACGCTAGCTTCTCTTCCTGTCTGATTTAATTCTGCTGGCATTTTGCCGTATCTGGTGATTTTCCTCTCTACTAGATGCAGTTACCATTACTCTCCAGAGCCACTGTGTAGATACAGTTACCATTACTCTCCAGAACCACTGTGTAGATGCAGTTACCATTACTCTTCAGAATCACTGTGTAGATACAGTTACCATTACTCTCCAGAGCCACTGTGTAGATACAGTTACCATTACTCTTCAGAATCACTGTGTAGATACAGTTACCATTACTCTCCAGAGCCACTGTGTAGATACAGTTATCATTACTCTCCAGAGCCACTGTGTAGATACAGTTACCATTACTCTCCAGAACTACTGTGTAGATACAGTTGCCATTACTCTCCAGAATCACTGTGTAGATACAGTTACCATTACTCTCCAGAATCACTGTGTAGATACAGTTATCATTACTCTCCAGAATCACTGTTTAGATGCAGTTACCATTACTCTCCAGAACCACTGTGTAGATGCAGTTACCATTACTCTCCAGAGCCACTGTGTAGATACAGTTATCATTACTCTCCAGAGCCACTGTGTAGATACAGTTACCGTTACTCTCCAGAACCACTGTGTAGATGCAGTTACCATTACTCTCCAGAGCCACTGTGTAGATACAGTTACCATTACTCTCCAGAACCACTGTGTAGATGCAGTTACCATTACTCTCCAGAGCCACTGTGTAGATACAGTTACCATTACTCTCCAGAGCCACTGTGTAGATACAGTTACCATTACTCTCCAGAGCCACTGTGTAGATGCAGTTGCCATTACTCTCCAGAGCCACTGTGTAGATGCAGTTGCCATTACTCTCCAGAACCACTGTGTAGATACAGTTACCATTACTCTCCAGAGCCACTGTGTAGATGCAGTTGCCATTACTCTCCAGAACCACTGTGTAGATGCAGTTACCATTACTCTCCAGAGCCACTGTGTAGATGCAGTTGCCATTACTCTCCAGAACCACTGTGTAGATACAGTTACCATTACTCTCCAGAACCACTGTGTAGATACAGTTACCATTACTCTCCAGAACCACTGTGTAGATGCAGTTACCATTACTCTCCAGAGCCACTGTGTAGATACAGTTACCATTACTCTCCAGAACCACTGTGTAGATACAGTTACCATTACTCTCCAGAACCACTGTGTAGATACAGTTACCATTACTCTCCAGAACCATTGTGTAGATGCAGTTACCATCACTACTCTACAAAACCACTGTTTAGATGCAGTTATCATTACTCTTCTTGATGGACAAACAACAAAAACAACAACAAAATAAAAAAGGAAAAATGTAAAAGAATAGTTCTACTCACGGTTCTGGCATAGATTGAGTTTGTATCACAATAACACAGAGGATGTATAACACCAACTCCACCACTGTGTTGATCTCCATGTCTGCAACCTCCACCTGTGTCAGGTAACAATGACTTATCAATATCTTCTTTCACTCATCTCCTTTTGTAAGCATCCACTCATCTCCCTCTATTTTTTTTAAGATCCACTCACTTTTCTTTATTAAGATAAGTTCACTAGAAAACCTAACTATAAGGAGTCTGCGTGGTCTAGAGGCATGGCGTCCACACCAGGTGCTAGAGGTTCCAGGTTCAGGCTGGGATTTTTTCACATGGACTTCGAGTAATTTTCCCTGGTAGTATGACTGGATGACTGTGTGTATTGTTGCACGCATTAAAAAAATCCCTTGGCAGTTGGAAATCGAAAAGAGTAACTTAATGGCGCTGCCCGGGCAAAATCAGGAGTTAAAAATCTACCCAAAGTATTTCAGGATCCTCGCTGATGCTATGGGGTTCGTGCGCTGTGCTGGATTACTTCAGACAGGCTTAAGACAGAAGTAGAATGGAGCACTTATGAGTTACCCTATGTGCTATGATGTTGATCCGTCGTCTAAATCCTAAAACTAAAAAAAAACGTAACCAGCAATTTAGCATTTATATTAAAGATTGTATATATTTAATATGTGCATATATGTGTAACATGTATCTACATATTTAAAACATAACTATATATTTATCATGTGTTTAATATGTGTCTGCATTCTCAACATTTGTGTTTATAATTAAAACAGTAGTTTTTCAATGCTTAACACATATCTAAATGTTCAACGCTCGCCTTTGTATGTTTAATACGTGTATATATACTTGACATTTGTGTTTATAATTAAAACACTAAGTTTTCAATGCTTAACACATACCTAAATGTTTAATGTTTGCCTTTATATGTTTAATATGTTTCTGCTTAATTAACATTTGTGTTTACATATTAAAACAATGGTTTTTCAATGCTTAACACAGATCCTAAAATTTAACATTTTCCTTTATAAATTTATTAATAATAATAATAATAATAATAATAAAGTCGGTTGTCAGTGAAGAAACAACCAAGAATGCAATAACTGAAACATAACCTCCAACACTAACAGAAAACAACTGCTAGAAATGCCAAGAGCAACTTTAGCAACGTCACCCCGTTCTGACTGAGCAAAAACAGCCGGGAAAGCTGCAAGTTGCCTCGTCTGGCCACTTTTTCTATCTGCTCTTTGCTGTCCATGCTCTGGCTGCTGTCTGTTTGACTGTCCACCTCGTTCATGTACTCCCACGTCTGTGGCTCCATCTATGTGGGTTAAGACAACAGTTCAAGGTCATCCCATGGCAGACAACAACAACCGGATGTGTAGATTTCATCACCATCATCATGTAGCATTTGTTTTGCAAGAATGTTGTTCTATCACAGTTTGCTGGAAGGATTGTAGATTTGCCTCATTTTCCTGCCTTGAGCATTTTTATGCCCAGGCTATCTTAAATGTTCAGTGCTCTCTCTGATGCTGGTTTACTATGATGTAAGTAAAAAGTAAAGATCCCTTTTCACGCCTTTCGGCGCATCGGGCATATGGGCAGAGCGTCCCATATTTTTACAGACAATCAGCACTCTGTGGGTAATGTGGTCAGCATTACGCTGGCTGTCTTTACTTTCCCAGGACAGCCCATCCTGGTACCCATTTTAGGCTGGGTCGGCCTGCGACGTCCCATACCACGACAAAAATCCACGCAGCCTGCAGTGGGTTTCGATCGCGGTATGCTGGCTCACGAGTCGGCCTTACTATGATGAACTGTCCCTAAATCTAAACATAACTGAACTGTCCCTAAATCTAAACATGAGTGAATTGTCCCTAAATCTAAACATGAGTAAACTTCCTAAATCTAAACATGACTGAGCTGTTCCTAAATCTAAATATGACTGAACTGTCCTTAAATCTAAACATGAGTGAACTGTCCTTAAATCTAAACATGAGTGAACTGTCCTTAAATCTAAACATGAGTGAACGGTCCTTAAATCTAAACATGACTGAACTGTCCTTAAATCTAAACATGACTGAACTGTCCTTAAATCTGAACATGACTGAACTGTCCCTAAATCTAAACATGAGTAAACTATCCTTAAATCTAAACATGAGTAAACTGTCCTTAAATCTAAACATGAGTAAACTGTCTTTAAATCTAAACATGAGTAAACTGTCCTTAAATCTAAACATAAGTAAACTGTCCTTAAATCTAAACATGACTGAACTGTCCTTAAATCTAAACATGAGTAAACTGTCCCTAAATCTAAACATGACTGAACTGTCCCTAAATCTAAACATGACTCAACTGTCCCTAAATCTAAACATGACTGAACTGTCCCTAAATGAACAGACACAGAGATTGGTCAGTCGTAGACATGACCATGATATATAGGATTCAGCCATGGTGGCACAGTGGCTATTAGTCTGATTGTCAATCCAGATTTTCTGTGTACAAGCTCTCCTTGGAGAATGGGATTTTTCTTTTTTTATACTGCCCCCAGATCGATTTAGCTAAACATATTTGGAAGGAAATTCTGGGAGAAGTAAAGATGGCAAGTGTGGTATTAAGCACATCACCCATCAAATACTGATTATACTGTCAATCTAGCACCATGTACACATACTACAACTAATGGCCCAGAAATGGGTCCTTACTAGTGCCCTATGACTATAAACATTTGTCTGATGTTTCAGCCATGACACCTTTGTCAGGTTCAGCACACACAACTTAACATGTGCAACAGAAAACAACCGTACACAGTCAATATAAACAGTCCATAAAGACTGTCAATGCAGTCAATATAAACAGCCCACATAAGGAGTCAATATAAACAATCAATAGAAATAGTCAATAGAAACAGTCAACAAAAACAGACAAAAGAGACAGTCAATAGAAACAGTCAATAAAGAAGTGGTAGAAAAAGGGGACACAAGTTCCATGTTTGGTGACAACATTTTGAGTAAAATTTGCATCAAAACAAGGAAAGATGGATATCGGGGAGAAAAATAATAACTCTGGATGGTTAGATAACTGTCTAACTGTGGCTCTGACAAAAGTATGTATTCTTGCTGTATGGACACAGCCACAGTTGTAATGAACTGGCTGTTCAATGCTTTAGTCACAGAGGACACATTTAAAAACACACAGTTGAGCTTGTACCTTCTCCATGATGATTGCCATGAGAGAGTCCACATGGGCAGGATTGTTGTTGAGGAACTCACAAAACATTGCAGATGACTGACTGCAGGAGTAGACAACCTGAAGCCAAGTAACATTAATAAACAACATAAGAGTTTTAGTTTCTGAGTGGCAGAACATGGGAAACAACTGGCAAAAGCTTATCCTAGTTTTGAGTGGCAGAACATGGGAAACAACTGGCAAAAGCTTATCCTAGTTATGAGTGGCTGAACATGGGAAACCACTGGCAAAAGCTTATCCTAGTTATGAGTGACAGAACATGGGAAACAGCTGGCAAAAGCTTATCCTAGTTATGAGTGGCAGAACATAGGAAACAAATTTCAAAAGCTTATCCTAGTTATGAGTGTCAGAACATGGGAAACCACTGGTAAAAGCGTATCCTAGTTATGAGTGGCAGAACATGGGAAACAAATTTCAAAAGCTTATCCTATTTATGAGTGGCAGAACATAGGAAACAGCTGGCAAAAGCTTATCCTAGTTATGAGTGGCAGAACATGGGAAACAACTGGCAAAAGCTTATCCTAGTTATGAGTTGCAGAACATAGGAAACAGCTGGCAAAAGCTTATCCTAGTTAGAAGTGGCAGAACATGGGAAACAAATGGCAAAAGCTTATCCTAGTTATGAGTGGTAGAACATAGGAAACAGCTGGCAAAAGCTTATCCTAGTTATGAGTGGTAGAACATAGGAAACAGCTGGCAAAAGCTTATCCTAGTTATGAGTGGCAGAACATGGAAACAACTGGAAAAAGCTTATCCTAGTTATGAGAGACACAACATGGAAAACAACTGGCAAAAGCTTATCCTAGTTATGAGTGGTAGAACATAGGAAACAGCTGGCAAAAGCTTATCCTAGTTATGAGTGGCAGAACATGGAAACAACTGGAAAAAGCTTATCCTAGTTATGAGAGACACAACATGGAAAACAACTGGCAAAAGCTTATCCTAGTTATAATCTAAAATGCCTATTTAAGATTCTGATTAAGTGTGTCGTCATATTTCCCAGTTTTCATTAAATTTCATCTATTATATTCCAGTTGCTGTGTTCCCTATGTTGGTTCCAGGCCCCACTGTGAGGGAAAAAAGAACCCACTGGCCCAACCCTTCCTCCCCCCCCCCCCCCCCCCCAACAAGCAGGTGCCTATAAGGTGAGGTGCTTACAAAAAGGCTATATCTGTGAAAACAAAACTCTCAAGATCTAGAACAAGTTCTCATGAGGGGATGAGCAACCAGAACTTTCTGCCCAGTTCTTAGCAGGGGAACGCAAAAAAGAAGAAGAATTGAAGAAGAAGAAGATGAGTGCTGAGTATTTCAAAATTAAGATTGTATTTCAAAGTTATAATGACATTATAGTTTCCCACGGCAGACTTTCTGATTGGCTGAAATGTTGCAGCGGATCTTTTATGGAATGAGGCAGCCATCCTCTAAGCAACCCTTTGCTGCCAGCTTTTCTCACAAGTAAGTGCAGATCTTCTTCATCAGCAACTGTTAGATGTTTCTCGACTCTCATTGATACATTATACCAGGAAGGATGACTGTTCTTAAGATTTTTTAGTTTGTTTCCTTGTGTTGTGATGGAGTGGTTAAATGTTGAATAACCTTTAACCTTTATAGCTTCTACAACAGAACAATCCGCTAGATACTCTGACCTTCAGCACCACACTGCAGTGTACAGGATGCCTCATCAGGTCCAGAAACTCGTCTCCCCTTGCGTCGCCATTTCTAGTGATTTTCTCGGCAACATATTCCGCCACCTGTTCAATAAAGAAATCAAGGCCAGAAATTAACCATTCAAGTTCCCAAAAACAAAGCACAATGTGTGATTTTCCCTTCTGCTTTGGATTCCAACCAGCACTGAATATATTCAGTCTGGCCTTCCCAGTGACCAGTTTCACAGTGTATTCTTAATACTGGAAAAACAAAATAGTTTTTAAAAAACTACGCACAAACATCTGGACAATCAAACAACAGTCTTGCAAAATATGGAACAGAGGAGAAACAACACACACATTCATTACCAGAAATAAAAAACAACAACTCATCAATGGATAACATCAATGTCAAAGGAAGGGATAACACAAGGAATTGTGGAGGGAACAAACCAGCAGTAAACTTCCACAAGACCCCACCAACAGACTCAGAAAGCAACATACATCAGTTTTGCATCTATGAATAGGACACTGTAGACATGCATAAAATAAAGACTGTACAGTGCCTACATGTGCATGTCAAACAGGACCACAAACACCTGAGCACATTCTGAAGACCTGCCTACCCTACCTATATATTGGAGAAAAAAAAACCTGGCCTTAAGAGCTACCTATGTAGAGCAAGCTATGGGGAACCATGAAAGACCTGCATCTGGCATGTGAATTTAGAGAGAAAGCTCACCTGACGGTCAAACCTGAGCATATGAAACTGAATTCAAAGAAGAAGAAGAAACTGTATTCTGAGCAGCAACATTCCTTCTGACACCTGTGGTTGTGTTCTGTAAAGTTGATCAGCTTCCTGTCTATCCGGCAGTTTTACCGCAGGGCAGTCTATGTGATTTCCCTCTATGCCTATTGCTTCTTCTTGTTTATCTACTCTGGGACTTTAGTCTTGTTCCAGAACTGTGTTGTGTGCACAGCCGTTTTACTGGCTTATTTCTAGAGCAATAGTTTGAGTAGATCCATCTCTCCAGTGTCAGCATACAAGGTATGAGTCATGGACCATTTCACAGTCACTGGAGAACATGGCAGCCTTTGAACCTGAATTTTTCGTTCTTGAACTATTCAATGCAGCTCATGAATGCAACAGAGGGGATGCCAGAAACAAGGTGGAGAACAAGAAGATGGACACATGATGTTGGAGACAGCCTTGGGGGGTGGAGAATAAGAAGATGGACACACGATGTTGGAGACAGCCTTGGGGGGTGGAGAATAAGAAGATGGACACATGATGTTGGAGACAGCCTTGGGGGGTGGAGAATAAGAAGATGGACACACGATGTTGGAGACAGCCCAGGGGGTGGAGAATAAGAAGATGGACACACGATGTTGGAGACAGCCTTGGGGGGTGGAGAATAAGAAGATGGACACATGATGTTGGAGACAGCCCAGGGGGTGGAGAATAAGAAGATGGACACATGATGTTGGAGACAGCCCAGGGGGTGGAGAATAAGAAGATGGACACATGATGTTGGAGACAGCCTTGGGGGGTGGAGAATAAGAAGATGGACACATGATGTTGGAGACAGCCCAGGGGGTGGAGAATAAGAAGATGGACACATGATGTTGGAGACAGCCCAGGGGGTGGAGAATAAGAAGATGGACACATGATGTTGGAGACAGCCCAGGGGGTGGAGAATAAGAAGATGGACACATGATGTTGGAGACAGCCTGAGGGTGGGGGGAGGGGAGGGGTAGAGAACAAGAAGATGGAGACATGATGTTGGAGACAGCCTGGGGGTGGGGGGGAGAGGGGGGGGGTAGAGTACAAGAAGATGGAGACATGATGTTGGAGACAACCTGGGGGGGGGGGGGGGAGACAAGAAGATGAACACATGATGGCTGGGGTATGAAAATACATGAGGCAGGGAAAGATGAGAATTGTTGACTGTTGTGGTTAACATATCCCAGGCTCTTGGCTCCCAGGCTGCCCTAGCCTGAACCGGGTAGCAGGAAAGTCCTGGGAAGTCAAGTCAGCCGGTGTGATGTTGACCACATCCCCCATCATGCACCAACTGGTCTACAACAATGTTGTTGTTGTTGTTGGCATCTTTCCAAGTCTAGCATCATATACACAAACAGCCACTAGAATAAATTTTTAAAAAATGCTGAAAATAACACAAAGTAATTTTAAAATTGGGGGGGGGGGGGGAACAAACATTACTATTACTTTTCTCTTTCCTTCCTTTGAAACATCTGCCCCTTGGGAAACATAGGTAATGGCGGCCAAACAGGAAATGGCTTGTAGAATCATGTGTTCCATTCGTTCAGCAGCTGCCTGGATGTTGCCTTCAGCAATTTCTGAAATGAGGGCAAACACTCACAGGTGACTTATATTGATATAGTTTGTATCTGGGAACAGCAAACACTCTCAGGTGACATCATATTGATATAGTCTGTATCTGTTGAGTGGTGTTTTATCAAACTGATCAAGAAAAGATATAAACGCGAATGAAAAAAGTATATTAGCAAGCTTCACAAGCTTCACAATATAACAAATACAAACAAAACATGAACGTTGCAGCTATTGAGCCTTCATCAGCACACAAAAAATAAATAATACTACATCGATACCAAAAAAAATAGAGTGTGTTAAAAGTATATTTTAAAAAAAAATAATTGATGTCCTACACTGTGCCAATGGCTTTGAGTGGAGCAGCGCACAAATTAAAATACTAGCCTTAATCTTGGATGAAGAGAGGCAACCTGACATTTCAATGTTATGGTAGGGTACAGCAGGCCCTTAGCCTTGGTTGGCAGTGGGTCTAGGAAGAAAGCTCAAAAATGGGCAAAGACAGAGCACTGCTATTCTTATCTGGAAGCTTCTAGAGAATGTATTATTTCTAGCTGTTCTTTGGTCTCAACAAGGCAGTCTAAGAGAGGAATGGGCAACATATTGTCTCTATAATACAGCCTAGGTTTTCTGCTAGGCTGAGAAGGAAATTCACCCACAGTCTTAATTAGTCTCATAAACAAATCAAGATTCCAGCAGGAAAAGATTCTCATAAAGGTTAGCTTTTTTAGAGGGTTTAAAAACATAACAGTATTAAACTGCAAGACCATTCAAACAGGCCAAGTTCAACATGCAGAAGAAATAACATGAAAATAAATGCTACATAAACTGAATCAGCAGAGTCTAGTCCGTTACATGTCTGGTTGAATGTTACTTGTCTCACGTAAGTTAAAAATTTAAATATCTAGGTAGTATATTTTCGGAGGATGGAAGAATGGATCGGGAAATAAAAACAACGAGTCAGTGCACTAATACAAAGTCCGACAATTAAGTAATGAGACTAATTCCATAAAAATTAAAATAATTACCAGTTGAACATCAAATCAAACTTCTCCTAGTCTGGGTTTTGAGGCTCTATTGTGGAGAAAGCAAGAATAGACTCACTGCCTATCCAAAAGCATGTCATAATAAGAATCAACTAATTTAGGGCTTCCTTTGAAGTCAGAATGCATCTGCCTGAGAGGCAAGGAACCAACAGTCTTTTATAAATGAGTCAGATCTGTGAAACGAATGTGCATGCAACACTCAGGTTCTAGAACAGGGCTAGAGTCCAGAAGTGGATGAACAACCAGAACTTTACAGCTGGTGAACACAAAGAAGTGGAAGAAAAATCAGACTGAAGACCAACCTGTTAGCCTTGTAAGTACAGAAGGCTCTGCTCGTGTATGGGCAAAGATGGCATCAAGACTGTCTCTGTGCTGGCTCACCAGGGATGTGTAGTAGCTGACTGGATGCTCCACCATGCTCCTCTCATTGGCATCACTCAGGTAGATGATACACTGCAAGACAAAGGGATCAGAAATGTGAGGATGGCTTTATTTGATTTGTATACAGAAATGTCTCTATGTGTGCTGTTTCCTACTGTACAACACACAAGGAGAATCTCAGCTCAGTGCATCAACTCTTCAGAACTGTCATGGATCCAGAGGTGTACCTCTTCTTACGGTCTACTGGTTTCCATTCAAATATGGCGATGTGATGTGTACATTTCTTCTCACAAGGATTACTTTCATCTAGGCAATGAAAATTTCTTCACTTGGATGTAGCTAATTGTGCCAGAATGTAGGTCAGGAAAAGAAATGCCTCAAGATTGTTGCCGGTGCTATGGAGTTTCGTGCATCTAAGCTGAAGCCTTCTTGAGTTGTTTTCAGCATGTGGTGGCTTTTTTTTCAATTAACAATGGCTGATCATAAGTGGGTAGTGAAACTGTTAAGGTTAAGAAACAAAGGCACAAGAGAGGGAGATGTCGAAGGAAGGGTAAACATGCCAGGACACAAAGAAGGCTCAAATATGTTCCTTTGGGCCTCAACCGTACAAAAATTATATACTGGAACTGTGCGAGCCAGGAAGTTTCCTTATAATTGTCTCCAGGGCCAAGTTGCACAGAAGTGGGGACAGAGCATCACCTTGCTTTAAACCAGATGTTATTTGAAAAGGGTCTGACTTTCTGCCTTTATATATTACAATATTACGAGTGTCTTTCATACATAGTTTGGGCATGGTGATTAACTTGTTTGGTATTCCATAAACTGTTTCCATGTATACTATCATTTGCCTTTAAAAAAATAATAATAATAATTAAAAAAAACAAAAAACCTTCTGTACATCTTTTCTATATTCCAAATGTTGCTCGGCTATTTGCTGTAAGATGAATATCCATATTGATCTTTTCTGTCAGAAACTGGTCTGATAATCATCCAATATATCTTCAACAAGTATATGCCATAAAATAAAATCAATAACAAATTTTTTTTATGCATGAATGATTTAAACTGCTCTTTGTAATTTCTGTCAAGAGAATTTTAATGCACACAGCATTCATACAAGCCATCAGAGATTTGTCTCAGTGACAGCCAGACATCCATTGCTTTCCCAGTATCAAGAAGGAGTATCCCATAAATGTTTCTAGTTTGTGAAAAATCCATGCAAGCAGCAATGAGGAGAATAAGGTCCATTTGAGCCATTGCCAGAGGCTGCAACCACTATTTTCACCATCCCCTGAACAATGTCTAAGACACTAGATAGTACCCCAGAACGAGGACATAAGTTAAAAAACAACAAAAACAAAGATAAAAAATGCTGAAGTAGATTCACTATCACAGTATGAATGTAATCTATCTTCCACTTTTTTAACTTTTAGAAAAGAAAATAATAAAATGAACAAAGGCAAAATAGGAAAGAGACATAAAGACTAGAAAAACTGAGAAAGAGAGTGACAGAAAGTGAGAGAGAGACAGAGAGTGAAAGAGAGACAGTGAGAGAGAGACAGACAGAGAGTGAGAGAGAGACAGAGAGAGCGAGAGAGATAAAGAGTGAGAGAGACAGAGAGTGAGAGAGACACAGAGAGAGTGACAGAGGGAGAGAGTGATAGAGAGAGTAATACAGAGAGTGAGAGTGACAGAGAGAGTGAGAGAGAGTGGGACAGAGAAGAGTGTCAGAGAAATAGAGAGTATGAGAGACAGAATGAGAGAGATTAAGAGTGGCCTCACCAGCAAGGTCTGCTCCAGTATCCTTAGGTCTTCATCAATGCTGACAGTTACCAGAGCTGGCACCAGTGACCAGAAGGAGTGGACAGCACGGTTGTAACCAAGCAATCTGAAACACAGATTCATACACAGATGCTTAATAAAAATAAAAAATACTTTACAATTATAAATATTGGGAAGAAAAGAAGAAGAAAAAAAGCAAGACAGGAGATGAAAGTGGAGTTAAAGACAGACGAAGAAGAGGAAATGTTTTTATAAAAAATTAATAGGAACCACAAGCTTACTAAGTAGCTCCTCTACCTTGGGGTGTAGAAGTTTGCTAGAGAGATCACCACTTCTCTATCATGAGTTTTTGTTTTCGCTTTTTCTTTCCATTCGAGTCCTCTGTAAGTCAGGGACTGTTGGGCATCTTCTCAGTTAAACAAGGATTGTCTTGGGGGTCTGGTTTCCTGGTTATTTGGCCTTCCAAGACTAACAACCATAGGTGAGGACTGGCACATAGGTAGAGCCCTAAACAGCCATTATTGTCCCTTTGCTAATATCTCTTTCGCTGAGAAATCTCCAGTTTGAACTGATGCATCAATTCTGGTCTATTATGTCTCCAAGGTATTTGAACTGGCTGAGCTGCTTCAGTGCATCCTGACCTATCATGATCTGGTGTTTCTTCTCCTCTCTTGAGATCACCATGGTTTTAGTTTTGGAGACACTGATGGTCATCCCTCTCTTCTCAAGCTCTTCCTTCCAGACAATTAAGTTGGCTTGGTCTCTGATATAGCTGTCAGAGCCACATCATCTACAAATGCCAGCTATGATTTGCAGGTTGGTCTCATCTTCCAAAATTCGACTGAGTACTTCTTTGTCTTCTCCCTACAGGTCTTGAAGAACATCATCAATCAAAAGATGAAGAGGTACGGTGAGAGGATATCCCCCTGTCTATCACCGCTTGAATCAGAAACAAGGACAACAAATAATAATAAAATTATGAAAATGGTTTTTGCACTCACACATGTTTAGCTTTTTGATCTGTCTGAGACCAGTCAGTCCAACTAATCTCACTGGCAAAGTAAGCATTAACAGCGATCACCAGATCAATCAGTATCTGTTGTGCCCACGGTTGCTAGGGAATCAAATAACAGGTTTACAGATCAAATAACTGTTTACAAATAAAATATTAGGTTATAGAATAAACTTACAGATTATAGAATCAAAGAATAAACAGACAACAAGGCAAATGTACTTAGTAGAAGCTATGAACAATGTGCAATATAATTACTACTACTTTTGTAAAAAAAAAAAAAAAAAACTTAAAAAAAGGGGCCTCAGCTGATTGTGTCCATGCTGCTAGCTCAGTGAGGTCCACACTGGCATAGACCAAATGGCACTTGATAGTGATGGTACATCAGGCTAGGTCTATCTGGCAACCCAGGTAAGTTTATTAAAAAAAAAAAATTACCCTCATCGACTTGAGATTTGAACACAGGACCAGTGGGCTGACAGGCAAAGTATACTCCTACAAGAAGGCATCTGATCAACCATCCTGTTTATGATGACCTAACAAACATGGAAGCCAAAAACACCACACCCCAACGGAAGTCACTGCTGTAGCGCTAACTTTTTACAAAGCATAGCTAACAATATGTATTTTAACTAGTGAAACAGAACAGCACCAAAAAAAAAAAAAAAAAAAAACAGCTCACCTGCTTGACTGTAGTTCCCTTTAAAATTTCTGTCAATAAATCCAAAAGTCTGGTAGGAATGTCCACAACCTCACAAAACATCACAATCCTAGAAACGTCACTGTAACAAACAACAACCAGTCAGCTGTGAACCATTAAGTGTTAGTACTGATGAAATTCAATGAAGCTAGCAGTGACATACCTCATGCAGCTGGACACAGCACATGTAAATAGTGTGCTATTTCTGTTACACTGTTACTGTAAGAGCTCTGACAGTGTGCATTTTTATTTATTACACTGTCACTTATGGGTCACTGTAACAGCTCTGGCAATGTGCACTTTTAGTTACATTATCACTTATGTGTCACTGTAACAGCTGTGTCAGTGTGCATTTTTATTTATTACACTGTAACTTATGGCTCACTGTAACAGCTCTGGCAGTGTGCACTTTTAGTTACATTATCACTTATGTGTCACTGTAACAGCTGTGGCAGTGTGCACTTTTAGTTACATTATCACTTATTTGTCACTGTAACAGCTGTGGCAGTGTGCACTTTTAGTTACATTATCACTTATTTGTCACTGTAACAGCTGTGGCAGTGTGCACTTTTAGTTACATTATCACTTATTTGTCACTGTAACAGCTGTGGCAGTGTGCATTTTTTGTTACATTATCACTTATGTGTCACTGTAAACACTTTGGCAGTGTGCACTTTCTGTTACATTATCACTTATGTGTCACTGTAACAGCTCTGGCAGTGTGCACTTTTTTGTTACATTATCACTTATGTGTCACTGTAACAGCTCTGGTAATGTGCACCTTTTGTTACATTATCACTTATGTGTCACTGTAACAGCTCTGGTAATGTGCACCTTTTGTTACATTATCACTTATGTGTCACTGTAAACACTTTGGCAGTGTGCACTTTCTGTTACATTATCACTTATGTGTCACTGTAACAGCTCTGGCAGTGTGCACTTTTTTGTTACATTATCACTTATGTGTCACTGTAACAGCTCTGGTAATGTGCACCTTTTGTTACATTATCACTTATGTGTCACTGTAACAGCTCTGGCATCTGCACTTGTTGTTACACTGTCACTGTAACAGCTCTGGCAGTATGCACTTTTTATTACATTGTCACTGAAACAGCTCTGGCATCTGCATTTTTTTTTACATTGTCACTGTGACAGCTCTGACAGCACTTCTTGCAACTCTAAACTGATGAAAAGCATTGATCAATAATACTTTTTTTTTTCAAATCACATTTTTCAATGACATGAAACTAAGGATCCATATAGAACACAAGTAAGCTGGCAAGCCAGCAGCTAGATCACATCCCCTGTTGATGGTGGCTATGATCTCAGACTTGATGCAGAAACAGACTCTCCACTGTCTCCCCATGTGGCAGGCACAGACTCTCCCCATGTGGCAGACACAGACTCTCCCCATGTGGCAGACACAGACTCTCCCCTGTCTCCCTATGTAGCAGGCACAGACTCTCCACTGTCTCCCCATGTGGCAGGCAGAGATTATCCCTTGTCTCCCCATATGGCAGACACACTCTCCCCTGTCTACCCATGTGGCAGGTACAGACTCTCCACTGTCTCCCCATGCATGGCAGGCACAGACTCTCCTCTGTCTCCCCATGTGGCAGGCACAGACTTTCCCCTGTCTCCCCATGTGACAGGCACGGACCTTCCCGATGTGGCAGGCACAGACTCTCCCCTGTCTCCCCATGTAACAGGCACAGACTCTCCCCATGTGGCAGACACAGACTCTCCCCTGTCTCCCTATGTAGCAGGCACAGACTCTCCACTGTCTCCCCATGTGGCAGGCACAGATTATCCCCTGTCTCCCCGTATGGCAGACACACTCTCCCCTGTCTACCCATGTGGCAGGTACAGACTCTCCACTGTCTCCCCATGCATGGCAGGCACAGACTCTCCACTGTCTCCCCATTCATGGCAGGCACAGACTATCTGTCTCCCGCTGTGGCAGGCACAGACTTTCCCCTGTCTCCCCATGTGACAGGCACGGACCTTCCCGATGTGGCAGGTACAGACTCTCCACTGTCTCCCCATGCATGGCAGGCACAGACTCTCCCCTGTCTCCCTATGTGGGAGACACAAAGTGTTCTCAATGAGTGAGTGGGACAAGTTTTACTCACTGGTTTTCCAGCAGACCTATTCACAGAAAGTTAGCATGTGCGCATGCACGCACACACAAACATAAGCACAGTGTTATGAGTCCAGTCACCCACCAACACCTACTCAGACAGTCATGCCAGCCATAATCAGATCTTATGACATCTTCCAAATGTTCAAATATCAGAACACACAATTTTAAAATTAAACTATAGCTGAAACTATTGACACATCCATGGTTTTCACAAAAATCAAGATAAATGCAGAAGTTGGAAATTAAAAAAAAAGAAAAAATTAAAAAAAAAAAAAACAAACAAAAAACTGCAAAATCAGAGTGATAAAAAATACAAGCAAATCACAGAAAAAATAGTCCAGTGAGCACTTAGAAGAAACAAAGAAGAAGAAAACCATTCACAAACAGATCAACAAATGTCCTTACCACTTGAGCGTGACCACATTAGTGATGACCTTTAGCACTGACCTCAACCTGGAAGCTCCCTCCAGCATACACTCTCTCACCTGGGGCAGTGCAAACAGTTCATTTGTGGTCATATTATTGTTTTTGATGTTGTCTATACTTCTTCTTCTTAGTATTCACTGGCTGTAGACTCCAGCGGAAAGTTCTGATTGTTTCTCCACATATGGACTTTGATCTTGTTTCAGAAGTTGAGGTTTGCATGCATATCTGTTTTACAGATCTGATTTATCTACAAGAAGACTGTTAGTTTCTTGCCTCTCAGGCAGATGCACTCCAACATTGAAGGAAATTCCCTGGCATGCTAATTAGAAAAGCAGTGAGGTCCCCCCCCCCCCCCCCCCCATAATGCATCACAAGGACCAACACGGGGAGTTGTCAATACGAAACCAACATTATGTGACCAGTGTCGGTTTGGTACCATTACTAAACTAATGGCTGGAAACTCATTATGTGACCAGTGTCAGATTGGTACCATTACTAAACTAATGACTGGAAACTCATTATGTGACCAGTGTCAGATTGGTACCATCACTAAACTAATGGGTGAAAACTCATTATGTGACCAGTGTCAGATTGGTACCATCACTAAAATAATGGGTGAAAACTCATTATGTGACCAGTGTCAGATTGGTACCATCACTAAACTAATGGGTGAAAACTCATTATGTGACCAGTGTCAGATTGGTACCATTACTAAAATAATGGGTGAAAACTCATTATGTGACCAGTGTCAGATTGGTACCATTACTAAAATAATGGGTGAAAACTCATTATGTGACCAGTGTCAGATTGGTACCATTACTAAAATAATGGGTGAAAACTCATTATGTGACCAGTGTCAGATTGGTACCATCACTAAACTAATAGGTGAAAACTCATTATGTGACCAGTGTCAGATTGGTACCATCACTAAACTAATAGGTGAAAACTCATTATGTGACCAGTGTCAGATTGGTACCATCACTAAACTAATGGGTGAAAACTCATTATGTGACCAGTGTCAGATTGGTACCATCACTAAACTAATGGGTGAAAACTCATTATGTGACCAGTGTCAGATTGGTACCATCACTAAAATAATGGGTGAAAACTCATTATGTGACCAGTGTCAGATTGGTACCATCACTAAACTAATGGGTGAAAACTCATTATGTGACCAGTGTCAGATTGGTACAATTACTAAAATAATGGGTGAAAACTCATTATTTGACCAGTGTCAGATTGGTACCATTACTAAAATAATGGGTGAAAACTCATTATGTGACCAGTGTGAGATTGGTACCATCACTAAACTAATGGGTGGAAACTCATTATGTAACCAGTGTCAGATTGGTACCATTACTAAAATAATGGGTGGAAACTCATTATGTGACCAGTGTCAGATTGGTACCATTACAATGAAATTAGGAACAACAGATTAATTGGTCTGAACAGCTAAGAAGAGCCACACTGAAGAAATATAACGAGAACAGAGCAAGGGAATACCCAGAATACAGAGCAATGACATCAGTAACAACCTGCTAGAAATGATGATCCACTTGTGTAGCCTACTGCAATGAGCTTGATGTTGTCCTCAGATTTAATTATACTGATAGTGGCAGAGATAGAAACAGAAGAAAAAGAGCAAGAGGAGGAAGTGGAGAAGGTGAAAGAGAACAGCAAAAAAGCACCAGCAGAAAAAAAAAAAAAAAAATAATTAATAAATAAAATGAAAGAAAGAACAGAAAAAAAATAATTAGAATAAAAAGGAAAAAGAAAGAAAATGAAAGAAATAATCATATAAAGAAATAAAAGAAAGAAGAAAATAGAAACAGAAATATCCAATCTACCAACAGGGGAGACAAACCTGATCACTGCTGGACACCAGACGAGTGTGCAACTTTGCCATGGCCTCCTTGTCCTCCAGAAGCTGAAGAGTGTACTCCGGGTCCCCATCTTGATCTGTGAGGTCAATCAATTTCTGCCACTCATCATCACTGTCGGCTTCCTGGTAAAATAATTTCTAAATCCTTATGATGAACTAGGAAATATGCAACAGAGGTCAAGATGTAGATAAAATTCATCACACACGACAAAATGAAATGACCTTGAGCCATGTCAAGGAATGGGAAAAGTTAGAGTATATTGTAACAGCTTGCAGAATTTATGGGAGATGGGATTTATTGGATGACAGTGAGAAACATTCTAGAGGCATTAACATTTGGGGGGATACACATAAACTGATCAATTAAACTGGTGTTAACTTTAGCTACTGGCAGAGGCAATGAACAAAATCTGGTGGCAATTTGAAGGTGCAGCAGTAGAAGAAAACAAAACTACAAGGAAGCAGAGCAGCAAGGGATGAAGAAGATGATGAAGAAAAAGAAAAAAAAATTAAAAGAAGAAGAGAGGGAGGCAAATGTATGCAGAAGGTATAAAGGTATAGAGAGAATACATGCAAAATATCTGTCAAATGAAACAGACAGACCTCCCCTTCCAGTTGAACATTCTCCATATTGTTGGGCGCCTTGTTTTTACGGACGACTGTCCTTCCCTGAACTTCCAGACTGGGGCATTCAGCTTTATCATCTTTACTGATGCAGTCAGGTCTTGGTGCTGGAAGTGTCATCTAAACAGATCAATATAAACAATCAGGTCTTGGTGCTGGAAGTGTCATCTAAACAGATCAATATAAACAATCAGGTCTTGGTGCTGGAAGTGTCATCTAAACAGATCATTATAAACAATCAGGTCTTGGTGCTGGAAGTGTCATCTAAACAGATCATTATAAACAATCAGGTCTTGGTGCTGGAAGTGTCATCTAAACAGATCATTATAAACAATCAGGTCTTGGTGCTGGAAGTGTCATCTAAACAGATCATTTTAAATAATCAGGTCTTGGTGCTGGAAGTGTCATCTAAACAGATCATTATAAACAATCAGGTCTTGGTGCTGGAAGTGTCATCTAAACAGATCATTATAAACAATCAGGTCTTGGTGCTGGAAGTGTCATCTAAACAGATCATTATAAACAATCAGGTCTTGGTGCTGGAAGTGTCATCTAAACAGATCATTTTAAATAATGGACATGCTGTTCAAGTACTTTAAGATACTGTTATCGGTTTAAATTTTCTTCTTTTTCTTCTGCCTTCTATCCCTCAATAGAGCTTAGGCCTTAGCCCACTCACCTCAAGTCGTTTTCTATTTAAACTTTACATGGCTGTATGGTGTGGGAACATGGGCTCCAACTAACAAGTGGGTCTTTAGAAGACTGAAGTGGATTCTTGTGGGATTTAAAGTATTAATAAAATATGCTTTCTTTAAAAACAGCTTCTGTGATTTCCTGCCAGTCCATGTTTCCCATGCATACAATAATGCAAGTTCCATATAGCACTTTACACACAGTAATGCAAATTCCATATAACACTTAACATACAATAATACAAGTTCCAAATAACACTTTACACACAATAATGCAAGTTCCACATAAGACTTTACACACAATAATGCAAGTTCCACATAACACTTTACATACAATAATACAAGTTCCATAAAACACTTTACATACAGTAATACAAGTTCCATATAATACTTTACACACAATAATGCACGGTTCCATATAACACTTCACACTCTTGTTCTCACTACCATTAATAAGTTGTCATTAGTGAGTGTGCTTTCCATCTAGCAAAAGGCTACTTTCGCCATGTCATTTCTAGATCTTGTCTCTATAAAATGTCTGCCCTTAGATGTTTACCTGTTTCCAGATAGACTTTTAAAGATTCACCTCTTCAGAAATGTCTTATTTACTGAGATAATCTACTGTGGTGTTTATGTCTTTCTAGAGCTGACCATAATGTCTGTCTTCTTGCAGATGATGATAATGTCTGTCTTCTTGGAACTGACCATAATGTCTGCCTTCTTGGAGTTGGCAATAATTTCTGTTTTCTTTGAGCTGACCATAATGTCTGTTTTCTTGGCTGTTATCATTATTTCTGTCTTCTAGGGGATGAGAATAATGTCTGACTTCTTGGAACTGACCATTATTTATGTTTTCTGACAGTGAATTCCAACCCTGGCTGCTCAACAAAAAACAAGCAAGATTTGCGGACCGACCTTGCTGGAGTTCGAGCAGTCTGTCTCCTTGCTGTGTCTTCTGTTGTCTCTGCCAGGTCCATCCTCAGCCGCTCCACCTGTCTCATCCCAAGCTTGTGTGTTGCTGTGTTTTGGTTTCTGAAATCACAACATAAGAATTCAACCCAGATCTTGTTCAACCCTACTCTGTTCTGGTCACGGTAAATGCACAGGTGCATCTTCACAATCTCCAACAACAACAGCGGTGTAATATGATTTCTATTTATCAAAGTGTGAGGAGATTTCCTAATGCGTCTACTTCTACCAATATGACAACTGAATAGAAAGAATAGATGCATAAAGTTGTATGAGAAGATTCAATGCGTAGTGCATATACTGTGGGAAAGACAGAAAAATAGAACGATACCTTACTTTTAACTTACATTTTTCTCTACTTCTTCTAAAGCCTTCCTACGAGCACGAGCCAGAATTTTTGATGTGCCAGGTGGGTTTGTCTTGGCCTTTGTTTGTTCTTCCTTGAGGATCATCATGGATGCCGACAGAGGTTGGGTAAAAGGTGACGGCAGTTTCATGTCCTCGTCATTCACTAGAAATATGAACATAAAGAAAGTGTTGAATGAATGACATTCAAGAAAAGATTTAAGATGAGAGAAAAGGAGTGAGAGGGAAGAGAGAGAGAGAGAGAGAGAGAGAGAGAGAGAGAGAGAGAGAGAGAGAGAGAGAGAGAGAGAGAGAGAGAGAGAGAGAGAGAGAGTGAGACAGAGATGTCTGCATAACACATCATCATCATTACGTGCCCTGTCAGAGGACACCAATCTTCCTGTCTCCCACGTATGTCATGCCAGGGTGATATCTCTATCAATTCCATTAAAGATATTTTCCCCAGACAACACCTGAGACCATTCAGCATCACCTCTTTCCTTCCTCCTGGATTATCTTTCTTATTCATTCAGCATTGCCTCTCTCATGAATCCAGCATCACCTCTCTCATTCATCCATCATCACCTCTCTCATTCATCCAGCATCATCTCTCTCATTCATTCAGCATCTACTCTCATTCATCCAGCATCATCTCTCTCATTCATCCATCATCACCTCTCTCATTCACCCATCATCACCTCCCTTATTCATCCAGCATAGCCTCTCTCATTCATCCATCATCACCTCTCTCATTCATCCATCATCACCTCCCTTATTCATCAAGCATAGCCTCTCTCATTCATCCAGCATAGAATCTCTCATTCATCCAGCGTCCTCTCTTATTCATCCAGCATCATCTCTCTCATTCATCCATCATCACCTCTCTCATTCACCCAGCATCAGCTCTCATTCATCCAGCATCATCTCTCTCATTCATCCATCATCATCTCTCTCATTCACCCAGCATCACCTCCCTCAATTACAAAGCATAGCCCCTCTCATTCATCCATCATAATCTCTCTCATTCATCCAGCATCCTCTCTCATTCACCCAGTATCAGCTCTCTCATTCATCCATCATCAGCTCTCTCATTCATCCATCATCAGCTCTCTAATTCACCCAGCATCAGCTCTCTCATTCACCCAGTATCAGCTCTCTCATTCATCCAGCATAGCCTCTCTCATTCATCCAGCATAGCCTCTCTCATTCATCCAGCATAGCCTCTCTCATTCATCCAGCATAGCCTCTCTCATTCATCCAGCATAGCCTCTCTCATTCATCCAGCATAGCCTCTCTCATTCATCCAGCATGGCCTCTCTCATTCATCCAGCATAGCCTCTCTCATTCATCCAGCATAGCCTCTCTCATTCATCCAGCATAGCCTCTCTCATTCATCCAGCATAGCCTCTCTCATTCATCCAGCATCCTCTCTCATTCATACAGCATCATCTATCTCATTCATCCATCATCACCTCTCTCATTCATCCAACATCACCTCCCTTAATTATCAAGCATAGCCTCTCTCATTCATCCAGCATCCTCTCTCATTAATCCAGCATAGCCTCTCATTCATCCAGCATAGCCTCTCATTCACCCAGCATCAGCTCTCTCATTTATCCAGCATAGACTCTCTCATTCATCCAGCATCCTCTCTCATTCATCCAGCATCATCTCTCTCATTCATCCATCATCACCTCTTTAATTCATCCATCATCACCTCTCTCATTCATCCAGCATCTACTCTCATTCATCCAGCATCATCTCTCTCATTCATCCATCATCACCTATCTCATTCATACAGCATCATCTCTGTCATTTATCCATCATCACCTCTCTCATTCATCCAGCAAAGCCTGTCTCATTCATCCAGCATCCTCTCTCATTCATCCAGCTTCATCTCTCTCATTCATCCATCATCACCTCTCTCATTCATCTAGCATCATCTCTCTCATTCATCCATCATCACCTCTCTCATTCATACAGCATCATCTCTCTCATTCATTCAGCATCTACTCTCATTCATCCAGCATCATCTCTCTCATTCATCCATCATCACCTCTCTCATTCACCCAACATCAGCTCTCTCATTCATCCAGCATAGCCTCTCTCATTCATCCATCATCACCTCTCTCATTCATCCATCATCACCTCCCTTATTCATCCAGAATAGCCTCTCTCATTCATCCAGCATAGAATCTCTCATTCATCCAGCGTCCTCTCTTATTCATCCAGCATCATCTCTCTCATTCATCCATCATCACCTCTCTCATTCACCCAGCATCAGCTCTCTCATTCATCCAGCATCATCTCTCTCATTCATCCATCATCACCTCTCTCATTCACCCAGCATCACCTCCCTCAATTATCAAGCATAGCCCCTCTCATTCATCCAGCATCCTCTCTCATTCATCCATCATCATCTCTCTCATTCATCCAGCATCCTCTCTCATTCACCCAGTATCAGCTCTCTCATTCATCCAGCATAGCCTCTCTCATTTATCCAGCATCCTCTCTCATTCATACAGCATCATCTCTCTCATTCATCCATCATCACCTCTCTCATTCATCCAACATCACCTCCCTTAATTATCAAGCATAGCCTCTCTCATTCATCCAGCATCCTCTCTCATTCACCCAGCATCAGCTATCTCATTCAACCAGCATCCTCTCTCATTCACCCAGCATCAGCTATCTCATTCATCCAGCATCAGCTCTCTCAATCATCCAGCATCAGCTCTCTCATTCATCCAGCATCCTCTCTCATTCACCCAGCATCAGCTCTCTCATTCATCCAGCATAGCCTCTCTCATTCATCCAGCATCCTCTCTCATTCATCCAGCATAGCCTCTCATTCACCCAGCATCAGCTCTCTCATTCATCCAGCATAGACTCTCTCATTCATCCAGCATCCTCTCTCATTCATCCAGCATCATCTCTCTCATTCATCCATCATCACCTCTCTCATTCATCCATCATCACCTCTCTCATTCATCCAGCATCATCTCTCTCATTCATCCAGCATCACCTCTCTCATTCATCCATCATCATCCTATCATTCATCATTCATCATTCAGCATCATCTCTCTCATTCATCCATCATCACTCTCTCATTCATCCAGCATCAGCCTCTCTCATTCATCCAGCATCCTCTCTCATTCCAGCATCATCTCTCTCATTCATCCATCATCACCTCTCTCATCATCATTCATCTCATTCATCATCATCTCTCTCTCATTCATCCAGCATCATCTCTCTCATTCATTTCATCACCTATCTCTCATCATTCATCCATCATCACTCCTCTCAATTCATCAAGCATATCTCTCATCATCCAGCATCTCTCATTCATCCAGCATCACCTCTCTCATTCATCCAGCATCACCTCTCTCATTCATCATCCTCATCATCCTCTCTCATTCATCAGCATCAGCTCTCATCTCATTCACCATCACCTCTCTCATTCATCCAGCACCTCTCTCATTCACCCAGCATCAGCTCTCTCATTCACCCAGCATCAGCTCTCTCATTCACCCAGCATCAGCTCTCTCATTCATCCAGCATCTCTTTCATCTCTTCTTTCATCCAGCATCATCTCTCTCTCATCCTCTCTCATTCATTCATTCTCTCTCATCATCCAGCATCATTCTCATCATCACTCTCTCATTTCACATCCAAGCATCCTCTCTCATTCACCCAGCATCAGCTCTCTCATTCATCCAGCATCAGCTCTCTTATTCATCCAGCATCATCTCTCTCATTCATCCATCATCACCTCTCTCATTCATCCAGCATCATCTCTCTCATTCATCCAGCATCATCTCTCTCATTCATCCATCATCACCTCTCTCATTCATCCAGCATCACCTCTCTCATTCATCCATCCTCTCTCATTCATCCTCTCTCATTCATTCATCCAGCATCAGCTCTCTCTCATTCATCCAGCATCATCTCATCATTTCATCCAGCAGCATCATCTCTCTCATTCATCCAGCATCACTCTCTCATTCATCAGCACTCATCTATCATTCACCAGCATAGCCTCTCTCATTCATCCAGCATCATCTCTCTCATTCATCCATCATCACCTCTCATTCATCCAGCATCCTCTCTCATTCATCCAGCATCACTCTCTCATCGCATTCATTCATCAGCATCATTCATCTCTCTCTCATTATCCAGCATCATCTCTCTCATTCATCCAGCATCATCTCTCTCATTCATCCAGCATCATCACTCTCTCTTCATCCATCATCACCTCTCATTCATCCAGCATCACCTCTCTCATTCATCCAGCATCATCTCTCTCATTCATCAGCATCATTCTCTCATCATCCAGCATCATCACCTCTCATTCATCCAGCATCATTCATCCTCATCTCAAGCATCATTCATCCAGCATCAGCTCTCATTCATCCAGCATCATCTCTCATTCATCCAGCATCAGCTCTCATTCATCCAGCATCCTCTCTCATTCACCCAACATCAGCTCTCTCATTCATCCAGCATAACCTCTCTCTTTCACTCAGCATCATCTCTCTCATTCATCCAGCATAGCCTTTCATTCATCTAGCATCTCCTCTCTCATTCATCCAGCATCACCCCTCTCATTCATCCATCATCACCCCTCTCATTCATCCATCATCACCCCTCTCATTCATCCATCATCACTCCTCTCATTCATCCATCATCACCTCTCTCATTCATCCATGATCACCTCTCTCATTCATCCAGCATCATCTCTCTTATTCATCCAGCATCGTCTCTCTCATTCATCCAGCATCATCTCTCTCCTTTCTTGAGCATCACCTCTCTTGTTCTGCTTTTTCATCTGCTCATTGTCAGAGTTACTAAAAGTGTTCTCCAACATCACTCTTTCATTGATTTGCCTCAAGACCCTGTATCTTTCCTCCCTTAATTATCAAGCATAGCCTCTCTCATTCATCCAGCATCACCTCTCTCATTCATCCAGCATCATCTCTCTCATTTATCCATCATCACCTCTCTCATTCATCCAGCATCATCTCTCTCCTTTCTTGAGCATCACCTCTCTTGTTCTGCTTTTTCATCTGCTCATTGTCAGAGTTACTAAAAGTGTTCTCCAACAACACTCTTTCATTGATTTGCCTCAAGACCCTGTATCTTTCCTACAGTCATGTATAATTGTCTTTCTTCATTAAATGTTTTCTATCTGGTGCTACATCAAACTTCAGTACTCTCTATACACAGAAAAATAAACACATTCAGGTAGTAACACCACGGTACATCTTGGTAGAAGAGAGATGTCCTATACATATATATATATATGGATAGACAAGCTTCTTTCTGCCAGCAAACAGGTACTGCAATGGATATTCTCACAGTATATAACTATATTACCTTTGACTAGATGTGCCACAAAGGCGTGCTGAAACAAAAATGGCCAGGTCAGCCTGCTCTTTGGATTCTTGTTAAGCAGACCTGCAGAAGAAACAAACATGGCTGACTGATAGATACTGTATCACCATGCTAGGATTGGGTGTAAGCAATAGTGCTTTTCATAATAAAACAATGTTCTAAAGCCTTGTTTCTTTGTAACAGAAATGAAATATCCCATTCATAAACTCTGTACCACTTCACCCATAACAGAAATAACAGCACAAATATGAGGGTTTGTGGTCAAATGTTTGGGCTGTTGGCTTCATATTCTGATAGTCATGGATTTAGTTTCAGACTACATACATTGTTCTGTGTATGTGTTTATAAAACTAGACATCTAATAACCCTCATTTAGTCACTATGGTTCAGAGACGTGGACAATAAATCAATCACATCAGGGTGAAACACATATGACAATAACCAGACAGAAGACTCTCCATTTACAGCCATACCAGGGTGAAACACATATGACAATAACCAGACATGAAACACTGCATTTAAAGCCATACCAGGGTGAAACACATATGACAATAACCAGACATGAGACACTGCATTTACAGCCATACCAGGGTGAAACACATATAACAATAACCAGACATGAAACACTGCATTTAAAGCCATACCAGGGTGAAACACATATGACAATAACCAGACATGAGACACTGCATTTACAGCCATACCAGGGTGAAACACATATGACAATAACCAGACATGAAACACTGCATTTACAGCCATACCAGGGTGAAACACATACGACAATAACCAGACATGAAACACTGCATTTAAAGCCATACCAGGGTGAAACACATATGACAATAACCAGACATGAGACACTGCATTTACAGCCATACCAGGGTGAAACACATATGACAATAACCAGACATGAAACACTGCATTTACAGCCATACCAGGGTGAAACACATATGACAATAACCAGACATAAAACACCCCATATATAGCCATACCAGGGTGAAACACATATGACAATAACCAGACATGAAACACCCCATATATAGCCATACCAGGGTGAAACACATATGACAATAACCAGACATGAAACACCCCATATATAGCCATGGCATCTCTAAGGTTGTCATAATATTAGGAAAGTACTGCAGGGATCAGATTCCTGCTGATGTAGACAGAGAGCTAAGGGCACTAACAGATCAGCATTCAGACCTAGAAGATATCATCATCTATACAGATGGATATGACTATGTCAACCACCTTCTAGATGTGACTGTTTGTGTCAACCACCCCCAAGATCTGACTGTTTGTGTCAACCATCTCCAAGATCTGACTGTCTGTGTCAACCACCAGCGACAATAGTTCATCAGCTTCCGCTTCACCTAAAGCACTGATTCAACCCTCACCTTGTAAGAAGTCCTTAAACACTGCGGTCATTGTCTTGGGCCACTTGATGGGATCATTGGTGATCATCTTGACCAGCTGAATGATGCTGTTAGTGTAGAACGGAGGGGTCCCCACAAACAACTCGTACAAGATACAGCCAAGGGCCCTAGTTCAAGGAAGTCAAAGTGTAAAGTTCATAATATCTCTTTATAGATTGTTTTACGTTCATGGTTCACAGCCATATACCACATATACACAATGGTTGTCTGTAAACCACATATACATAATGGTTGTCTGTATACCACATATACACAATGGCTGTTTGTATACCACAGAACAGTTGTCTGTATACCACATATACACAATGGTTGTCTGTATACCACAGAACAGTTGTCTGTATACCACATATACACAATGGTTGTCTGTATACCACATATACACAATGGTTGTCTGTATACCACAGAACAGTTGTCTGTATACCACATATACACAATGGTTGTCTGTATACCACATATACACAATGGTTGTCTGTATACCACATATACACAATGGTTGTCTGTATACCACATATACACAATGGTTGTCTGTATACCACAGAACAGCTGTCTGTATACAACAGAACAGTTGTCTGTATACCACATATACACAATGGTTGTCTGTATACAACATAACAATTGTCTGTATACAACAGAACAGTTGTCTGTATACCACAGAACAGTTGTCTGTATACCACAGAACAGTTGTCTGTATACCACATATACACAATGGTTGTCTGTATATCACATATACACAATGGGTGTCTGTATACCACATATACACAATGGTTGTCTGTATACCACAGAACAGTTGTCTGTATACCACATATACACAATGGTAGTCTGTATACCACATATACACAATGGTTGTCTGTATACCACATATACACAATGGTTGTCTGTATGCCATAGAACAGTTATCTATATACCACAGAACAGTTATCTGTATACCACAGAACAGTTGTCTGTATACCACAGAACAGTTGTCTGTATACCACACATACACAATGGTTGTCTGTATACCACATATACACAATGGTTGTCTGTATACCACATATACACAATGGTTGTCTGTATACCACACATACACAATGGTTGTCTGTATACCACATATACACAATGGTTGTCTGTATACCACATATACACAATGGTTGTCTGTATACCACACATACACAATAGTTGTCTGTATATCACATATACACAATGGTTGTCTGTATACCACATATACACAATGGTTGTCTGTATACCACATATACACAATGGTTGTCTGTATACCACATATACACAATAGTTGTCTGTATACCACATATACACAATGGTTGTCTGTATACCAAATATACACAATAGTTGTCTGTATACCACACATACATAATGGTTGTCTGTATACCACACATACAGTTGAAAAAGTTGAACCTCTCTATGCAAAAAAATGTTAAATGTTGAATGTTGAATTGAGAATCAACATCACAGTACTCTGGACCCTCCCATAAGTGCTCTCACCCCATCTTCAGCAGCAAGCGAAAAGTTATAATTCTGATGGCACCAGTAACCATCTGATTGTATATCCATCTCATTCTTTCCCTGAGTGTTGAGCATCGGCCAGATCGCCTGGTAACTCCTCGCAGCGCCATTCTCCTCAGACTGTAATGATCTATCTGCACCTCCGCACTGTTCACTCATTCCCAAAGGGCCCTCAAAATATCTAGTTTTTCATACATCAGTTCACCACCAAGTGGTGCAGAGCCGGCCACTTCATCTGCTTGCTTATTTCCCAACACATCTGCATCATCTGATGCTAACTACCCAGGACCTCTGAAGTAATGCTTGCCACTCTGCACAAAGCATGCCAGTCTTCACCTTTCTCAGCATGCTCTGTGAGTCAGTTACAATCATGGCATTTGTGTACAGCTGATTCTCAAGCTAGTGGAAGGCAGCAGAGACTGCCTCCACCTCCATTCTCAAATTAGACGTGATATCATATGCTGTACTAAGCGACATCCATTCGCCTTTGCTATGAACCCCCATGCACTTCGTCTGCCCCTCAACACAGAGACATCTGTTTAGATAATCACACCACCTGGGCAGGAATTGTCATGAATCATTTGCTGAACTTCTGATTCTGCAGCACCAGCTGGCCAGTCTCTGCACTCATGACCCAAAATGATTAAAACCCTACATAAGTCTATGCAAGCACTCACTAAATCTCAGAAACATGTGACTGAAATCAGCCCAAGTGAAGACCCTCTCTATGCAAGCACTCACTAAAGGTTGGCTGAGACCTCAAATCTTAGAAACATGTGACTGAAATCAGCCCAAGTGAAGACCCTCTCTATCAGAGAACTTACCAAAGGTCGGCTGTGTGATCGTAAGGCTTCTCTTCCACCAACTCAGGAGACATGTACAGAGGTGTACCCTGGGGACACAAACACAGCACATCAATTATGAGATCTTTCATTTAACACAGTTTTACAGAAGACATTCAACTTGAAATGTAGTGGAACTTGTTTTGCAGCCCACCTGAGACCTAACCACACACACAAACAAAAACAAATGTAAACAGCAGTTCTTTTTTACATCTGATGTCACATAATGAACATTTTCAGCTAATCTGCATCTGCTGTCCAGAGGTTACAAAAATCTGACATTGTTTGTTTTATGTGAATTGCTACAATAACATCCATTCGATTTCTCTACTTGGTTTTTATTACCGAGGTGCCTTAGAAAGTCTTTTCACACACAACAGCAAGTCCTCGAAGTGTTACAACGTCCTTGAAGTGTTATTCTTACAGACTGGAAGAGTACAACCATCTACTCTACCTTGTTACATGATTAAGCAGAACTGTTGGCAGCCCAAGTGGATATTTCCGTGGCTCACAAGGACCTTCCCCCAGGTTGAACACCACTGCTGTAAACCAACTCCAGCACTTGTTGGCTGTCTGTGGTTTTACTATGTCCAGTAGTTTGCCATTGCCTTCTGAACAGTCAATACTCCTAGCATTGTTAAAATAAACACAATCGGCTGCCAAATCATCTGCAGCTAAGTCAAGGCTATAAAGTGCACAAATAGAACTCTTTACTGTACATGTACCACATACAGTATTGTATATAGAAAGTCAAGATCCCCTTCCATGTAGTAAGGCATATTAGCCATATGGCGCTAGCCACATAATGTTAGGCACTCTTCCGAATACCGGTCCCAAATTATTCACTGCCGAAAAACATCCCTCAGGAGGTTATGTAGTAAAACCGTTCAGGCCATCATTCCACTTGTGCCGTTATTGCTCGCTGGATATCAATGTTTAGACGTTAAGTTAAGCGCCGTGGGGAGGAATCGTTTTCGATCCATAGAAGCGACGTGGAAAAGAATAGATTTAGATCCATTGTTTAAGCGGCTTGGGGAGGAATAGAGTTTGATCCATTGAAGCGACGTGAATGATTTTTGATCCATTGTTTACATTACCCATTACTGCCCTTGCTGGGGTCCAGGGCCAAATATTTTAGGGGAAAGAAAAAATAGATCCACTGCCACATAAAAGTTGTAAAAGGCGATTCATTAGGACTGCTGAAACGGATGCTTTGGGGCAAAGGGCGCAGATATCGCAGCCTAGCTGTAAACCACAACACAACGTGAGAACCATTCTTTCAAGGGCGAACGAAAAGAACGAAGTTTACCTACCCGTGACATTATCATTGAGCATCTCGCCGCCGCTATCGCAGCCAAGCTGTGAACCACAAGAAGAAGCGAAAGGCGCATATTTCGCAGCCTAGATGTAAACCACAACACAACGTGCCAACCGCCCTGTTAAGGGTTTAAAAAAATGACCTCTTGAGGCCCTGAATAGGATTTTTTAACGGTGAATAATTTGGGACCGGTATTCGGAAGAGTGCCTAATGTTATAGATCAGCTGACACTCAATGTGCGATATGGTCAATATTATGGTGGCCACCTTTACTTCCCAGCACAGTGGTTCCAATGTTTAGACTGTGCTGACCTCAGAATCTAGATGACTTTGATAAACCTGCCTTGATGGGGATTGGCACATATAACCAGTATATATAACAGTTGTAGCCACTGTGTTAGCACAGTTCTCCATACCATATGCTGAGCCATCAATATACACAACATTAACTCTTTGGTACAGACAGAAGACAAATAAATGACAGGACACAAATAAATGAGAAGACAATGGCCGTACCTTGATGGATGTAAATACCACTGTGTTGGTTCTGATTCCGCGGGCAAACCCAAAGTCACACAGTTTAATGATTCCACCTTTACCCAGCAGAATGTTCTGAGGTTTCAAGTCCCGATGAAGAATGCGATGAGAATGAAGGTAGTGGAGGGCTGAGACCAACTGGGCAGCTATCACCTGTACCTAGAGTCAGATGATCAAACCCCAGCCTGTCAGAATTAAGCTGAAGCATATATTCTGAGATATCATACAGTATCTGCCAGAACACAAAGATGTGGAATGAGTGTTCCTGGATTCTAACTGGACCTGCCTGGATGTGTTTCTAACTTCTATCATGTTGTTCAGTGACTTAGAACACAAGGATGTTAACCACACCCACCGGAGTCAGTCGAATGTTTATTGCAGTTCCAACAACAATGCAGTTCATTCGGTAGTCTCGTTACCTAGTTGTCATGAAGCTGACTGACACAAAGGATGGCAGACAACATCATTCATCGAGCACACAAGTATTTACCTTTCAGTCCATGCTTCTCATTTTGAAGATCATGCATGGAATCATGCGTAAGGTAGATTTGGCAACCACTCGTCTCTCTTTATGGATTCAACACTGCAGCCATCCACTTACTTTCACAACTCAGACGACATTCATTTGAAAGAAATTTATTCTGCTCAGCACATTCTGACTGCTTCCATTCCTGCCCAAAAATCAACTGCCATTATCTCATCGCCACTCCAAAAATCTGTTCCCTTTTCTCAGAGTTTGGGCTAGTAACTATCATTCCCCTTTGTGACTATATTTTATTTCGGGTAGCCCGTTTTCTCACTGGTCTGTCACTCTGCCGCATCATAAGGGGTTCCCCGGGAATTCCCTCATTACAGATGATGAAAGAAACAAAAACTCATATCTATCAGGTCTGTGTTTGCAGCACTCTTCTTTACAGCCGTGAATCTTGGTCAACTTATTTGCAAAAGAAGAAATGACTAAATAGTTTTCACATGCGATGCCTAAGAAGAATACTTGGCATTAAGTGGCAAAACAAGACCACAAACACTGAGATCAGGTAAAACAACAGTTTTTCTAAATGGTAAGTCTCCAAAGGTTCAGGTGGCTAGGTCACACCTGGAGAATGGAGGATGGCAGAGTCCCTAAGAACATCCTCTATGGTGAATCAAAGGTGGGTGGAAAATGTAGAGACAACCTCTACTACGATATAAAGGTGCGTGCAAGTGGGACATGAATGATACAAGTACTGAGGCAGACTTGGAAGACAAAAATGCCATGGACCATGTAGCGGGGAGTGAAAAAATCAGGAAGTGAAGGAGAAAAAATAAAAATAAAATGATTGCAGAAAGGATGAGAGCTGAGTGTCTGATAAGAAACACACTAAATGCATGTGATGGCAACAACAGTTCTGAAATCCCATGCTGTAATTGTGGAAGACCTTTCTTCATGTGGGCAAGTCTTGCTAGTCACACTCACCATGGCAATGTGCTGTGAGTCCCATGCCTCCTCACGGCACAACATTAATACTTAAGTGTGGAAAGATGCCAGCCCAACAACAGCGCCTGCTAGAATAATGATATACTCTAAAACAAATGTTCTCTAGTTAGATCGTATTACAGCAGCAATGTGTGGTCTGAACTGTTATGAATTGATGTTCCCAGTGACATCAACACATGACTGCAAGGACATTCAAACAAAATGGATGAAGCAAAGTATCAGTCCTAGAATGTAAGATCACTTCCAAGTGGGTTTTCAAATGTAAGAATGTAGCTGAAGTTCAATGACAATGAAGACTTTGGTTTGCAGAGACCCCCAACACATCTCAGTAGCACACAAGTGGGATCAGTTTGAAACCCATGGTATCATGTGTAATGTGCGCAAGGGAAGTCCCTGGAGGCCTCACAGTGTAACAAGTGCTGCTTCCTTGGATCTGGTGGAGGAACAAATAACATGCTTGAAAAAAAGGATGAAGATGAGGGTTATCTCCAAGACAACATGTACATGAACACACACTATCACTGTCAACTACTCAGGTAAGCTGAATGATGATGATAACCTCTAACATAACAGTTACTGCAACAGACCTGCTCCTCTGGCAAGCTGAGGTCATCTTCCAAAATCTGGAACAGTTCTCCTTCTGCACATTCAGTTACAACCACAATCTGGAGAAACATCAAATATTGCAATTTGAATAAACATCAAGAAAAATAAAAACATACAAACATTCACCATCACAAAATGATACCAGAACTTGTCAGTAATGTTTTTTATTTATTATTTTTCTTTGTATTCAGTGTTGCATTCTATAATATACCATTTGAAGTGGCAACAATATTATCCAAAATTGACCAAACTAAACTTCAAACAGCTCACATAGTTGAGATTCAACAAGTCTAGATAATAAAACCAACCAACTTATATTCTAGTCCAGTATTTCTAAGTCCCTTCTGGTAATCCATGTGTTGGTAGGTGGTGACTTTTCACATTGCTGGACAACATGTAACTTCTGAGTGTGAGACAACATGTAACTTCCAAGCCTGTTAAAACATGTAACTTCCAAAATGAAGACAACATGTAACCTCACAGTGTCAGACAACATCTAACAGTATAGGAAAGTAAGGACATCTTTACCTCAGAGTCAGTATCGTAACTGTCCAACAACTCAATGATATTATCATGTTTCAGTCCTCGCATGATGTCAATTTCTCGTCGAAGATTTTTCAGCTCTTTCTCAGACTTTCCTCCTTTTGGAATACACTTCAAGGCTACAATCTGAAACCAAATACACTTCAAGGCTACAATCTGAAACCAAATACACTTCAAGGCTACAATCTGAAACCAAATACACTTCAAGGCTACAATCTGAAACCAAATACACACTTCAAGGCTACAATCTGAAACCAAATACACTTCAAGGCTACAATCTGAAACCAAATACACTTCAAGGCTACAATCTGAAATCAAACACACTTTAAGGCTACAATCTAAAACCAAATAAAAAAGATAAGAGCTCTACACGGTGAACAGGAAGTGTACCAGGAACTGTGCTGGCCAGTAAAGGTGGGCAGGCTGACATTAATCAGATCACCCATCAAATGTCATTATGTCTATAAAAACAACTTTCAAACATCTTGGCATAAGATAGTGGAGGGTTGATGCTCCATGCAGACAAAGAATAAAACACAATTGAGTACTTGATGGATGACGTGGCTAATATCAAACAAGCTAGCTTTACTTCACAGAACATTTCCTGACAGCATTTTGGGGTGAGTTGATGATGGAGCCAAGATCCATTTAAAAACAGACTTCCTGCCTCGAGTGGTATCTGGGCAAATGACAACAGGACTGCATGGTTATATTGTGAGATTTTTTTCAGGGCATTTCAATTGTTTAAAAGCCTGGATCTCAAACTTCTGTGTTTTTAGTAATTACGATGATGATTATCTGGCACAGATGGAGTTCAGGTATTAAAATTATTTCCTGCTCATCATATGCCTTGAGACATTAAGTGAATATCTGTAAAGACAAGAGCAGCCAATCTGAGGTGATGCAAATATCCTAAGAGTTTGTCCTCAGATGGAGCAGGTGCAAACCAGAATAGTCTTCTTTATTCTGCTTGTGTCCAACACTCTTGCAGCAATTATTCAGCCAGCAACACATGCATGACAGATACAATGTTTCCTTGCAGTAAAAATTTAAAAAAGTAAAAAATACCCTCTTTTACGCCTTTAGGCATATAGGGCATTTAAGGCTAGACCTATATTTTTATAGAACAATCGGCACAAGATGGGTGATGTGGTTAGCATCACGCCGGCCGCCATTACTTCCCAGGACTGCACCCGGTACCCACTCGAGGCTGGGTCGACCTGGGTTTAATTGCAGTGCAGAGGGAAAATATACCTAATATATACTTGAAGAACAGTGGCAAATTATACTTGATGTATACATGGGGGAACTTGTGAAATTATACTTAATGCATAATTGCAGAATGGTTTGAAAGGATACCTGAGATGTAAACTTTTTTCTGCCTTTGTATACTTGCCCAAAAGATCCTTGTCCAATGAGATCCAGTTTGAGATATGCTTCCATTTTAGAGTCCAATTCTGCAAACAGTTAAACAAAAATCAAGTTAAAGTCTGCAAACAGTCAGAAATCAAGTCAAGTTTGTAAACAATAAGAAATCCAGTGCAGAATATTTATATGACAGTCCACCTTTGTACTATACCATAGTCAGCGCCTGTATCTTAGGTGTTGCGAACACCTTCATATTGCTAGGGTGCTGGGTTCGATCTCAGTTGCAGACAGTTTGTCTTGTGTTGGTTTCAACAGTGATATGGACAGCTGACCGTTTAGAGAGCAATGGCAAACTACTGAACGTAAAATGTGCCTTAATAAACCACAACAGCCAAAAAATGCTGGGGTTGGTTCTGCAACGTCCTGTAAAGGATACACAACCATGCTTTACTGCCATGTCATGTAACTGTTATTGTTAGAGATTCATCATTATCGAATAGCCCAGTCCTTACAGCGTTGATGACATCTGCTCTGCCCATGCTTCTTCCAACATGCGTTGGTGCATTACTTGCTAGCTGGTCCGCCAACTCATTGCCCATTATGAACAGGTGTGTGGATCCATGTGAGGGAGGTTAAAGTTTAACTGTTAAACGCGATTTCCGAATGTTTCCTACCCATGCAGGGTGCATACTGCCTGTGCTGTGACCCTTGTGGCCTACTGTAACATATTAGCCGCAATATGCTGGGCATTTAGACATAAACTATAGATGCCCTTAATACCTCATTATCATAGCAAAGTGTGAATCAGCACAGACGGGAAAATATTTCGGCAGCCAATATTTCTAGATGAGCCCTCCACCCACCATTCAATATTCATCGTAATTTCACCCAAAAAGTGCGTGGGGTTAGTAGAGCTAGTTCCTATCATGTACTGTAGCACTTGTTTACCTAAAATGTTGTTGCGTTTGTTATCAGTAGCAACCACAACAGACCAACCAGACAGATATATCATATTTGACAGATCAGACTGTTATCGAGAACTGGTTATACACCTGTAACCAATGTAAACAATACCCGTAGAAGTGGTTATTTTTACGGCTGTAAATAAACTGATTCATCAAAGTCACCTCCAGCAACATGTATACTAAAAATAAATATTTGTACACACATCTTCCTGTCCCTAATAAGAAATGTACAAGTAACCTGTAGATATATTAGATGTGAGTTTGCTAGCCAACAAAGGAATGTCAGCAGGCGATACAGCCATTGAAATTGCTGCCTTAGTTTACGAAACAAAATATGTATATTTTTTACGTTATACGAAGCAATCCTATATTTGATTTGAGAAATAAAATGACGTGAATAATTAGGGACTCGTAGAAACAGGGACAAATTATTCGTGACAATTCCCTCCCAAGTGATGTATGTACATATGGCTCTGTGTTGAGGGTCAGACAAAGTGCATTAAGGTTTATAGCAAAGGCGAATCGACGTCGCTTTGCGCAACAAAGCATAGAACAAAGTCTAGTTTGAGAATGGAGGTGGAAACAGTCACTGCTATCTTCCACTGGCTTGAGAATCAGCTATACACACATGCCGTGATTGTCATCGACTCACAGAGCATGTTGAGAAAGGTAGAGACAGGTATGCTCCGTGCAGAGTGGCACACATCATTTCAGAGGTCCCGGGTAGTTAATATCCTTTGGATATACGTGAGGGTCAACTGGGAACGAGTGAACAGTGCGGAAACGCAAAGAGATAATTCAGGTCTGAGGAGAATGGCACTGCGAGGAGTTACCAAGGGATCTGGCCGACGCTCAACACTCAAAGGAAAGGTGAGACAGATATACAATCAGACAGTTACTGGTGCTATCGGAATTGGAACTCTTCGTTTACTGCTGAAGGTGGGGACGGAGCGCTTAAGGGGGTGTCACGAGTGCAGTGATGTTAATTCTTAATTCAACATTCAATTCAGAAACAGGGACAGACGTGAAGATAACGAGACGAGCTATACACTAAACAACAGTGAAAGTTATAGAGTGGTCCAAGTAGGATTCGACCGTGTTGCATCGAAAATGACTCAGTCTCTCCCCCCCCTCCCCTACCAACTTTCACTATTTATGCCGCGACGCAGGGCTATTCAGCTGGCGGCGTTCTTTCTTATTAACTTTTTCTCTTCCCTACAATATTCTACCCTTGTAAAAATTTATGATGCGTCTCGTGCCTTTGACCCGCGACGATCCTAATTTTCTAATATTTTGGCCCATGAGTAAACTAAATGGCCCCGCAGTAAAGCGTGGCCGAGAGGGGTCAGATATAGTATACCGTCTCCTGCTAGTTGCCTAGCTTGTATCGATGTCACTTGTGATTCTGTTGTGTCTAATTGACCCCCTCCACCATCTCTTTTCCCCCCGAAATCTTGACATGTAGCCTTCTGTTTTCGTGTAGAACGCTGGCTTTTACAGTAGCACTGAAGGTTGCGTATTCTTTACAGGACGTTGCAGAACCAACCCCAACAGCCCCTGGCTATTGTGTGGTTTCTCTAGGTAAATTTACATCCAGTAGTTTGTCATTGCCTCTGGACGGTCGGCTTTCTTAATACCACTGTCAAAACCAACGCAAGGCGCATGGCCCGCAGCTGGGATCGAACCCGGCATTACGAAGCGTTCGCATCGACTTAGCCACAGAGCCGACGTAGCACTGAAATGATACCTTAAAAAGGGTGTAACACCAAGAAAACAAAATAACGTTAACTAGCAATGATCTCCAGGGATTTCTGAACTCAAAATTATTCCCGTGAGCCGATGGCGGAGTGGGAATACGAACAACAGAAGTTAGGAGCACCAGGGCATCAGGCAGACGACCTAACTACTACACCAGAGACGCCATGATGAAACACATATCTTCGTCTAGTAGCTTAAAAAAAAAAAAAACCGTTGTCAGATGTCCCGCCAAGTGCCTTGCGATAGACTCTGCCATTATCATTCAGGACTTCCAAATGCCGTCCCTAAAATCTTTGTGATATCAGATCAGAAGTTCACACTGTATTTTGTTTCGCTGCTTACGAATGATGGTGCCACCTGATGCGGCAGCGTCTCTATATTATATAAATAACCTACCAATCAAATACCTTTCTTAAATGTTTGTGTATTCTAGACAAAGCATTAAGGTCCACTGTGTTCGTAAATTGTTGCTGTGATTGTTATTCGACATATGCTTCGTTAATATAAATTTCTGTAACCTATGGTGCCATTTAAATGGTTTGAAATGAATTCTGTCCGTATTCCATAGTTATGAATTTCAAGTTGTACGATAGACAGGGCTAGTAAGACACCTTTTTTTAGGGGTTCCTAGTTGACCATGCTCTTAGCGCATTTGTATTCATGGCGAGGCACAGACGCCGTCTGGAGACGACAGGTTCAATTTCCGGCACGGTGACTATAGCTTTCGATTTTTATGTTGTCTAGTGTGTTCTTCTATCTATCTACTTCTTTCTATGAGTGCCGATCAATATACTTTCTGTTACTTAAATAACTCTCTATATCATACCACGACACGGCCCTGATTCGACCGCTGTGGTTGTCATGTGACAGTTTCTCTACCAGTTCTTGATTCCATTGACTGACTGACTTCTTACCCCACCAGGACATCACACAAGCGATAAACACCCGATGACACAAAGTGCCACCATGTGGATGAGGATCACCGTGGAGAGGTCCCAGAAACCGCGTTCAGCCAATTGGCCATATTTATGGCCTGGCTATATTGCGGCCCCTGGCAAGAGCCAGGGTGGGGCTTCAAATAACGAAAAATGTCATTCCAAAAAGGACGGCAAGTAATATATTATGATTCCATTGACTTTGTGGCCTACCTTTTCTCCGCTTCCCTGGACAATATCTTCAACAGATATCTGCCACAGAACTCCTCGTCTTGTTCACCAACATCCGGTTATCCCACCATATCTCACGCAGAGCTTACACTCTAGTCCTTCGTTCTTTTACGGACTGTGCTTTTCCCTCCCCCGCCCCCGCCCCACGTCAACGACAGAATCCAGTCCAGTGCTACTGGCCACTCTCAGCAGCGTACGCCTTAGGATTTTTCAAGGATGTCCCAATTTTTTCGATTTGTGTCCCATTTAACTGCTTGTTTAGCGATTGTCTGTCTGCTTCCCCCCTCCCCCCCCCCCCCAGGATATTTCCAGTAGGTCGTTATCCTCTCTGTTGTAAAACTGACTAGACCAGCTACTTTCTAGACATTTCTCTGATTTCTTTGGCTGTTTTTAATTCATCCAATTTAATGTCCATCATTTTCCCCAGACATTTGTTCTACAATGTGTTCCATATTTTTTTTTTTCACACGCCCTTCTCGCCAGTTGTAATTCTCTCAAACAGTCTTAACAATGAGTTCTCGTGAGACAGATCTGTTCGTTTCGTGACCCGTCCAATCAATGATAGGTGTATTATGAAATATTTAGGCTGCATTCAAAAGCGCATACGGTTAGTGCTTGTTACAACTGGACATTCCATGATTTGATTTGATTTGATTCAAGAACCGAAATCCCAGCACTCGGGGCATTTCCATAAGCGCTCCGTCCCCATCGTCAGCAGCCAGCGAAGAGTTCCGATACCAGTGCTAGTAACATTCTGATTAAACGTCCGTCTTGCCTTTCCCCTGAGCCTCGAGCATCTGCCAAAACCTCTCCTCACCCCCCCCCCCCCCCCTTTCCTTCCACCCTGCATCAATCTCACCAGACTGGTGATCCATCTGCTCCTCCGAACTGTACACGTTCTCCTACAAGGCACTAACCACGTCTGCCCTATCATGTGTGTATTCCACCAAGTTGTGCAGAGCCAGCCAGTCTGTCGGTCTGTTTATTTCCCAACACACCGGCGTATCCCGGTTAAAAAATCCAGACAATTCTCCAAAGCATACCACTCTGCACGAAGCATGTCTATCCTGATCTTCCTCAGCATGCTTTCTGAGTCAGTTACAATCACGACGTGTGTGTGTGTGTGTCGTCTTCTCTAGCCAGCGGAAAGCTGCAGTGACTGCCTCCACCTTTATTCTTAAGCTGAATGTTGTGGTGTCATATGCTAGGCTCTCCTGCACCAAACGTCGACCATTTACTTTTTCTAAGAAGCCCCAAGCACTTCTTTTGCTCCCTGACACTGAACCGTCTGTGTAAATGATCAAATCCTCTGAGCGAGCATTATCTTGCATTCATTGCTGAATTTAAATCTCCGTGGCACCTGCTGGCCAATCTCTGCTTTCCCGGCTCAGTGTGATTATGACCCTACACAGTCTGACTGTTCAGGCGGCACTTTGACCCACTCCTCTCCTCGCCTAATGTTCTCAAGGATGCAAACCTGTCTGGTTGTGTCTTCTGCCTGAGCCATCCATGACCTCCCTCTTATCAGCCGCTGACCCTTAATTGCACCCAGAGCTTCATGCAGAGGGTGGTTTGTGTCTGCAGCACCTTGTGCCTACTTGCAGTAGTCGGCAAACCAAGGATGTATCGCATACACACCACTGGGGTATCTCTGGTGCAACACAGAATGACCCACATAGCTGCGTTCTGTTTGCGCTCTAATTTGTCCATCTAACTCTTTGAGACGGTAAGCAGTCCCAGGCCATAATCAGCCACTGACAGGATCAGGTGCTGATATAGTGTGAAAAGCATTCTCTGCTCTATATCAGTTGCAGCCATAGTCTTAAGTGCACTAAGTCCTTTTTGGCATCTCGTCACAACACTCTCCACGTGGTCCTTAAATGACAGGCTCCTGTCAAATGTAATTCCCAGATACTTCAGTTTGCTCTCTCTGTTGATGTTTTTACCATCTATCATGAGACTTGGGACATTAGTTTTAACGATCCCGTTGTCTAGAGAACACCACAAAAATGACGCATTTTTCCGGATGGACGACAGCCCTCATTTATGTACACCACTCAGTCACTTTGTCTACTGTCGCTTGTATCTCCCGAACTGTTTGTCCCCTCTTTTCCCAATGCATATATGCAAGTATATCATCCGCAAAAGTCAGTATCCTTCCAACTACTGGAGCTTCTAGGCTTGCAATCTTGCTCGTATACACGTTAAAGAGCACAGGCGAGATGGTGAATCACTGTGGAAGTCCTGGGGCCAAACTGAGGGTTCTGAGGTCCATGAGCCCAGTCAGAGAGCTGAACATTCCATAGCAGTAGATTGTCATTCAGATACATAAACTCAAGTCTTTAGGATAATTAGACAGACAAATAGATTGGTAGTTAGAAAGATAGGTAGGTTGACAGACATACAGACATATAGATTGGTAGGTAGGCAGATATACATACATACAGACAGATAGGTAGATAGATAGATAGGTAGGAAGGCAGGTAGATCTACAGATTAACAGACAGAAAGATAGATGAATGGATAGATAGACATACAGTCAAGCGGATAGGCAGATACTCAGGTGGATGAATGGACGAATGGATAGATAAATGGATAAATTCTTAGTCCAGATAGCTGGTAGTCATGTCGTTCCACAGCCTTCTGTCTCGTGTACTTTCAATCACAGATAACCCTCAAAATCTCGGGTATCTGTTAAGTCTCCCGCGACTCTCTTCTACTCAAACGTTTCCTCTGTCTGCATGCCAAGATGTCCTCCAGTTTTTTTTTCTTTTACAATGTGAACACACACACACACACACACACACACACACACACACACACACACACACACACACACACACACACACACACACGCACGCACGCACGCACGCACACACACACACACAAGTAACAAAGAAAAGACAAAACATTAATTTCACTACAACTACAGCATTGTCTTTATTATTATTGCAGCCACTCAAACTCAAACATCTGTCAGCATCAGCTCAACCGCCGGTGGTTTTACTATTCACTTGTTTGTCTGATCACTGTCGAAGTTTCATCAAACAAACGCCGGTGGTTTTACTGTTAGCTTATTTGTCTGTTTCATTGTCAAAGTTTTAACAAACAAACGTCAGTAGTTTTACTGTTAGCTTATTTATCTGTTTCATTGTCAAAGTTTTAACAAACAAACGTCAGTGGTGTTACTGTTAGCTTATTTGTCTGTTTCATTGTCAAAGTTTTAACAAACAAACGTCAGTGGTTTTACTGTTACCTTATTTGTCTGTTTCATTGTCAAAGTTTTAACAAACAAACGTCAGTAGTTTTACTGTTAGCTTATTTATCTGTTTCATTGTCAAAGTTTTAACAAACAAACGTCAGTAGTGTTACTGTTAGCTTATTTGTCTGTTTCGTTGTCAAAATTGTATCAAACAAACGCCGATAGTTTTACTGTTAGCTTATTTGTCTGTTTCATTATCAAAGTTTTATCAAACAAACGCCGGTGGTTTTACTGTTAGCTTTTATGTCTATTTCATTGTCAAAGTTTTATCAAACAAAGGTTGGTGGTTTTACTGTTAGCTTATATTTCATTGTCAAACAAACCTCAGGTGGTTCTTCGCAGCAGGAATCAGTTTATTTTGACGACCAACGAGACACCTTGTTGATCATAATGAGTCAGATTAATATGTGTCATGCAGAAATGGAGGAACAGAGAATAAATACAAGGAAAACTAAGATCATGACAAACAGTCTAAACCAACAAACAGTGACCATATATAACCAAACAATTGAAAATGTAGAACGGTTCACATATCTTGGCAGTGTGGTTTAAATACTGGAAAGGACAGAAGAAGACATACAATCACACTTTAACAAAGCTACAGCCGCTTTTGAAAGGATGAGGCAAATCTGGAAATCCAACAGGTACTGAAGAGGAACAAAACTCAGACTCCACAAGAGCATCATTTTGCCAGTTCTTCTTTATGGAGCAGAATGCTGGGAAATGAACAAAAAGGATCCAAACAAGCTATTCACCTTCCACCACACATGTCTACGTAGAATTATCAAAATTTTCTGGGCAGATAAAAAACACTTAACTACTTCAAGCCACAAACCAAGAAACTTTAAACAGTATGATAACCAAGAGAAGATGGAAATGGTTTGGCCACGTCACGAAAATGAATCCTGATATACCTGGTAAAAACAGCTCTCACTTGGAAACTAGAGGGGAAGAGAAAAAAAGGACGCCCAAAAACAACATGGAGACGAACAATGGAAAATGAACTGAGTGCTGCACCTTCGACATGGAAAACTGCACTGAAGATTGCACACAACAGAAGGCATGGAATGTCCTCTCTGAATCCTCATGTATCACTAGGCATAACGAGAATTAGAAAAAAAAAAAAAATGTGTGTCAGACAATTTCAATTATGACAATGTTTCCCAGTGATATATTAATTTGATGCCAACATTAGTACACAAATGCGAACTTTTTGTAGCTGTATCTAATGCCATTGTCCCGCTTCTGCAACTCCAGCCTCTTGGCGAGCAGCAGCTCGGACATCCACTCTCTGTCGACTGAGAAACTCAAGGCTTTCCTGGGGATCGTGTTGTAGAAAAACGGATCTTTGGTTTCCATGTGGACGCTAGGAGGGTCTGGCAGAGTATCTGGGGCTGTGCACTGGACTGTATAACTTTCCCGTTTCACCGGCCTTCTGTCGAAAGGAAAAAAAAAATAAAAAAAACTATAGTGTCCTATATGAGATATACCAGAAGTGAATAGGAAGTATGTTGCCAAATTATAGATTATTCCATATGTGGCAGACCGTGGGAACGTGAAAAAATTATGCAGTTTTAGAAAAAACCCTCCCCGTGTGAGTTTCGGGGTCCCATTGTAGGGAAAACAAGAATAGACTCACTGCCTCCCCAGCAAGCATGTCGTAGGAGTCGACTAATCGAGGACTTCCGTCGAAATAGGAGTGTAACTGCCCTAGCGGAAAGGAACAACTAACTGCACACAAATAAGCCAGTGAAACAGATGTACACGCAAAACTCAGGCCATGGCACAAATCTAGAGTCCACCACATTGACAAACAGCCAAGACATTTTGTCAGAGCTTAAAACTGGTAAACAAAGACAACGAAGAAGAATATCTCCCCCCCCCCCCCCCTTTCCGCCCTCCCCATCTCACCGGCCGAGAAAAAGGCTGGGTAAAGGGACAGTATTAAAAAAAAATTATTGATATTATCATAACAGCGTGACGTCATTTTGTTGAAAATTGTAGATAATCTTATAAGAGATTGACCGGGAGTGAATGGAGAGTAAACTGGAAAGTTCTGGAAAAGCCTATAGAAGATAGAGCTGGGTAATCGGGGAGATGTAGAATATATATTTATAGATAATCACAGAGGGTGCCACAAATGAAGGATTTCACACATGACTGGATATGGTAGCGATCTATGGCTGGTCTCACTTTCGAAAATAAACCAGAGCTTTTCTCTCTAGAAAAAAGGTGTCTGTACTCACCACAAAAAGTCTATTACAGTAGTGGTGGATAAGAAATGAAGCCTAAAAAAAATAAAAAAACCCTAGGTAAAATAATTTGAACAGGTAGGAAAAAAAAAAAAGAACTATAAATTGAGCTTTTAACTTCTTTATATATAGATCAAGTTCGTTGCGTGTCCTTTACAAACAGTTGCAGATTCATCCCGAACAAATTTTGTGCCTGTTTTTAAATTTTTTTTTTAGAGAAGTTTACTTTCAGTCGTTTGGCGTCGCTTCTGCATGACTGGCTCTAGATACCACTGTTAAAACCAACGCAGGGCGGTCTGCTGCCAAATCGCCTGCACCTAGGATCATACCCCGGCATTACGAAGCGCGTTATTCTCAACGACTAAGCCACAGATATTACTACATATAAGACTTAACAAGTATAGAAATTTACTTCAGTTGATAAGGATCTCCGTGGATCTGGGCTCGCCAACCATATCTCTCCACAACTGACTCATAGCTTTCGTCCACGGAGTCTTCTTTGTCGTAGGAGGAAGATCTGGACGATTCTGTGGCCCCAGGACAACCAGCAGAGTCATAGCTGTTGTTGGGAAGCTGAACTGGAGCAGCAGCTGTTTCTGGGAGTATGATGTCAGTGCCACAATGAGAGGAACTGAGAACCATCTGTAGAAATCAAATTTAGACGTTTTTGTCTTCTTCAGGGAAAAACAAAATACTATCAAAATTGTAAAACAGAGGAACACTCTGGATTCCTTCTTCCCGAAGAAGAAGAATACAAATAATATGGAACAAATAATACTAGTAAAAAGAATATTTATAAGGTAAGTAACGTAAGTAAAGGTAAAGTAAAGGACCCTTTTCAACGCCTTTAGGCGTTTAGGGCATATAGGGCTAGACCTATATTTTATAGACCAATCGGCACAAGATGGGTCATGTGGTTAGCATCACGCCAGCGCCTTTACTTCCCGGGACTGAACCCGGAACCTACACAAGGCTGGGTCGACCTGGGAGCCAAGGTCAGTTTTGAAAAAAGTCCGGCTCCGCCAGGGAGTGAACCCACGACCTTCCGATCTGCGGCGAGCGTCTAGCCGCTCAGCCACGGGGACTCCCAGTAAAATGGTGCTGAAAACAAAAAAGGAGAAGGGGGAGTGTGGAGAGGGTTAGTAAGGTGTCAGATAATTTAAGGAAGAGGAGCAGGGGCGAGAGAAGAAAAAGGTTTTTTTTTTTTAAATTTACTGGTTCTTGTTCTTGCATCGAATGTTTGTCTGAGAATGCAGTGACTGGTCTCGTAGGTAGCCGTGTCTTCTGCTGGCGAACTGTTGCACTCTGGGTCCTGGCAGACAGACAGACAAGCATCGATTACGTGAGTAAGACAGACAGACATAGAAGCATACGTTTACAGTTTGAAGTCAGACAGGCGTGTATGTGCACAGTTTGAAGACAGACAGGCGTGTATGTGTACAGTTGGAGACAGTAACAGACCAACGCCTTCTCCAGATTCTTGAACATTGGCGCACCTCCGCTCAGCTGTAGTCCGTAGACTAAGCCGTAAAGCGAACAAAGTCGCTGTTTTTCAGTGACCTGAAAGTGGGACTGTGATATCTACGTGCATAGATACATTTCCTTGTATTTAAATGTCCGAAAAAGACTGTTCTTAAGTGTCGAGTGTTATTAACTATGCCTGCCAAATGTTCTGTACCCGAGTATCGCTCAAATTATGACACTTCAAATGGATATGTGAGCATGTTTAAATTTCCTTCTGATCCTTTTTGTCTGGAAAAAAAAAAAAAAAAAGGTAAGAGAACATTGAACTCATTCTCAAATCCTATATTGTCATAAAATGATGAACAAGTACATTATCTTGAACAGTTTGCTGAATGGCTAAAAAAGTGGGACAGGCTGATTGGTTGTAAAGGAAAACTGGCAAAGAAAACACCCAGTGTCCTGCTGCGTACAGTGACAATGCTTTCTTTAATCAAATATATGTTTGCAACCGCGAAAGCCAGTTTTATTCAGACTGACTACTTAGAAGCTCGGTTTGGCGAATATCGCTAGTTATCAGGAGCAACTATCTAGTAGCTTTAAAAATCCTATCTCAAAATATGCCAAATTACATTTTCCGATTGATTCAATCCAGTTCTACAAATAGCAAGCGACTAAGTTTACTACATTTGTCTAAACTGAAAATTGAATTATTTAGAACAAGTCCAGCATATTCTGCTACTCATTTATGGAACTATCTTCCATTTGATCTGAAAATTACAGAGTCCTTGATCGTTTAAACGCCAACTTTTTCATTTCACGATTGCCAGTGATTATATGCCGCCGTAAATGTAGTTAATAATCCATATTGCATTATCAATTTATTATTTAAAATGTGTGTATGTGTGTATGTGTGATATGTATGCGCGTGCAGGCGTGTTTTTGTATGTATGATTCTGTAAATGTGTGATTGTGTTGATGTGTAACTGAATAAGTTTGTGTGTGTGTGTTTGTGTGTGTGTGTCTGTCTGCGTGTGTATCTGCGTGGTGTCTGAATGCGTGTCAGTATGTATGTCTGTGTGTGTGTCTTTGTGTGGGTGTGGCTGCATGTATGTGTGTGCGTCTGTGTGTGTATCTATGTGTGTATCTATGTGTGTATCTATGTGTGTATCTATGTGTGTATCTATGTGTGTGTCTGTGTGTCTGTGACTGCGTGTGTGTATGTGTGTATGCCTGTGCCTGCATGAGCGTCTGTGTGTATTTTGACCTGTCTCTGTATGTGTCTTTGTGTGTGTGTGTGTGTGTGGTATATGTCCGTGTATATACGCCTGATTGTATGTATATATGTTTATGGGTATATATGTGTGTTAGTGAGTGCATGATTGTGCTGGTGTCTGTGTGTATGTAAGAAAGTAAGTCTGTGTTTCTGTGATTGTGCCTGTGTGACTGTATGTGTGGGTCTGTTTGTATTTCTGAGTTTGTATTTCTGTGTTTGTATGTCTGTGTGTGTGTGTGTGTGTGTCTGTTTGTATGTATGTGGGTGTATGTGTTGTGTGTATGTATGTTTGTATGTATGCTTGCCCAATTTGTCACCATGTAAAAATAAAGGTCGTTCGTTCAGCAAGTTTTAGAAGCAGAAAAGAAACTAAACGTTTACTCACAGCTAAGTATGTCCTCATCAACTTATAGAGATTTACCTATCCGTGACCTTTCAGCAAGAAAGGTGAAAATGGGGATAATATTACTGAAGCTGTTCACCGGACGTAAACAACGATTTTTTCTTCTTCATTTAAACCCAAATGACTGTGAATTATTGGTGCCTGGAAGATTCAGAGGAGCCACTGGTGTATATTGCTGAATCTGTCTCTAATTAGCTGAACACAAAAATGCAGTGTGCTGCGTGCAAGGCTTTACTGCAGACGGACAGGCATTAGCATGTGATGCTGACGGGTATTTGTTCAGGAACATGAAGATAAGTGCAATGTCCACAGACCACCTACAGCTACCTGGCCGTGGAGGTTTTAAATTCCCTTGACAGTTTATAATTCTATTGACTTTTGTAGCATATGCGGCTATGCAGAAGCTTATATCAAAAGACATACATGCTCCACGTGTGTGTACGGTCTGAAGACAGTGACAGAGACATGATCTTGTATGTGGACAGTCTGAAGACAGTGACAGAGACATGATCTTGTATGTGGACAGTCTGAAGGAAGTGACAGATGCACATGATCTTGTACGTGGACAGTCTGAAGACAGTGACAGACAGACATTTGTGTATGCATACAGTCTGAATAACACGTCAAATGAAATTACTCACACAGAAAACTTGTTATAAGCATCTTAGAGGAAAAAGCCCTTTCTTAGGGCATGTCCAGAGACAACTGAACTTCCGAATTCAGTTTGAGCAGAAAGAAGGAAAAAGTAGGTCAATGACAAGCAAGGACGTAAGGGAGACTTTTTTTTGGGGGAAGTGTTGTTTCCAACAACAACAACAACAACAACAACAACAACAACAACATCAACAACAACAACAAACTTACATGACTGACTGACTTTCTACTCCACTAGGCCATCACACAAGCGATAAACACCCGATGACACAAAGTGCCACCATGCGGATGAGGATCGCCGTGGAGATGTTCCAGAAATCGCGTTCAGACAATTGGCCATATTTATGGCCTGCCTATATTGTGGCCCCCGGCAAAAGCCAGGGTGGAGCATCAAAAAAAAAAATTTCATCCTGAAAAGGACGATGGAGGGTAGACTGAACTACACACTTACATCAACACAACACAAACTAATACAAGGTAGTTCAACCACGGGAAATGAAAAGACATGCATGTGTGATGTGGTCAGTATTACTCCGGTCGCCTTTACCTTTCTTGGACATTTCGTGGTAACCAATGTTAGGCTAGGAGCTCAGATCAGTTATAAAATCCCGCTTTAATGCTGATTCAAACCCAATACCTCCCGAAAGATTGTCCAGTCTCCAACCACTCCACTTGCACAATTCTAGCGTTTATTAAAAGCTAACCTGCAACATAGTTTTACGGATGAATTGTTGCCCTTGTTTGGTGGCGCTGGTGTCAATGGTGACCTCGTGCTCTTGTGACCCTGAACTGAAGAAAGCGATGACCTTGCCGGAGAAGACGATGGTCGCTGCCTGTTACCCACAGACCGTTCTTGTGGATGAACATCGGACTGCAATCAAGAAGAGAGTAATGTGTTACATTCCCTTTAAGAGAGGGGCTGAGTAGTCTCGAATCATGGCGTCCGCCTCGAGTGCTGGAGGTCTCGTGTTCAGGCCCCGACGAAGGCTGTGATTATCTCACGTGAGCTTCTAGTAATTTCGCCTGGTATCTGGGTATCCTGTCTCGGAAGCTGAAATATTTTGGTCATATCCACGACGGATTGGACAAAATTATAGCAGAGAATATTGCATCAGGGTGGAGGGGTAGGGGCCGACCAACACGTAAGGACCTTCTACATGATGATCATGACCTAGGTAGTAAGATCGGACGCCCGTGTGTATTGGCGCAGGTAAAAATTTCCTTTGGCATTTGGAAATCGAAAAGAGTAGCATAATGGCACTGCCCGGGCAAAATTTGGAGTTAATAATCTACATTCGCCGGGGCTACGAAGTTCGTGCACTGCGCTGCGATTCTTCGGACTCAGGCTCGAGTTAGTAGTAGAACGGAGCACTTATCGGTTACCGCCCCCTTGTGCCATGATGTTGGTCTGTTGTTCAAACTATTCTGTTCAATACTGGTTTTCTCTGAACAGCTATTCAAAATCAGGCTCAAAGTAGTCCTATATAAAATAAGGCAATGCAGTATTGTCGTCAAAACTAACACCACGTAAAGTGCTACCTCGAAATTGGAGCTCCATTCCCAGACAGCTTTCGAATTCATAGTCCTTCCAGTGCCAATGCAATTTTTGAAAATTAAAAATAATGCAAACTAAATTAATCTATTCCAGGGTCCAACAAACTTAATTTGTAATATGTACTTTTTTTATTTTTTAAATACGGTACACGGTGAATATAGTAACAGAGGAAAATTAGACCCAACAAAATGTGAAAAGAAAGAAAAACATTCTATTTATTATTCCTTCATAAACATTGTGAGGTAGCCCATGGAAGCAGGAGGAGGAAGGGAATTATTTTCTGGGAAGATAATCACTTTCCCTGATAAAATCAGAATCCTTTCTGGTGTTTCATATCGTAGCCTTTCACCACTTGTAGAGGATTTGAGGTCACTAGTGTGTGTGTGTGTGTGTGTGTGTGTGTGTGTGTGCGTGCGGGGGGGGGGATTGAAAACTGGAGAGCAGCGATGATGCAATGACTACTGTGCCTACATGATGGCTTGGGCTACATAATATTTCCCTAATACCTGAGCATAATATCTTTCACCATTAAAGATTCACACACACGAAAAATGGACAGCCAGGAGAACTTGAGAATACTAGAGATTATTTTTGACTGTTTATAATGAATGTAAGGTTTTGTAAAGAATTGACTAACCTGTCTAGAAGCGGAGCTTTGAGGTCTCGCTGGCTGTGCCCTGTGTGCATTTGGCCATGTTAGTCTGGAACTAGATTCGGACGATGAATCTGAAAAATCCTGGCTTTGTTGACGAAAACCTGGGAAATCGCAACAATTGTAGAGATCAGTTGCTATAGAAACTAGGAGAAACAATTTCTTACTTTGGGTGTACAAGAGTGGATCTTCTCACGGAATGTGAGCAAGTGGATACTGTAATACAGCTTGGGGAACCAGTCACCCTGGTAGTGGATAGGGCATTGAATCATCTCAGACTAGGATGACAAACTCAGACAATTAAAATCTGTTTTACAACAGTTTTCTCAATGCTCAGTCTATGAAGGCTCAGGTGGCTTGGTCACACCTGGAGAATGGAGGATGTTAGAGTCCCTAAGAACATCCTCTATGGTGAATTACCTATGGGTAGAATATGTCAAAGTCGACCTCTGCTGATATATGAAGATGTGTTCAAGTGGGACATGAATGGTACAAGTATTGAGGTAGAATGGGGAAAAATGTCATGGACCGCGTTGCGTGGAGATTTCATCATCTACACAGATGGATCCTTGAAGCGCAGATTAAGGTCAGCATGGGCACACACAGCGCAAAGAAGGGGGAAGACAATACAGGAGGACAGCGGCGCTTACCAGACAACCACGTCAAGCACGACCATGGAAATAACCGCTGCTTCTATAACATGAGCATGGGTATCTGAGCGAACCGTCACACAGGCAGTTAATGTATCAGACTCCATGAATATGCTTCAGAAGATAGCAACAGGCGATATGCGCTCTGAATGGGTAAAAAGCATCCGAAAATCGCACTTAACCTCCGTCACATCTACACACGGGTCATGCGAGTGTAAAGAAAAATGAGCGAGCGGACCAAATTTCAAGCACTGCACTAAGGATTGTGGGAAAAAAGCATGGTCAGAGCAGATATCGTCAACGCTGTACGAACTGGGCTAGTGGAGAATGAGGAATCCCTGACACTAACACGATTGTGTTACATGGGAGTAAAGCATGGTCTTTGCCATCTTCGAGGCCGAGATAGGAGACAATATAACCAGCTTCTCATGGGAACAATTAGTAGAGGTACTTTGGAGTGACTGAGCACGAATGGGAATGCCCAACGTGCAGTGACGTCGATTGTGATAACATAACAAGTGCTCTGCTAGGGACAAAAATCGTCACGTTCAACCAGCATCCCTGAATGGGGAGCTTTAGGTTATACTTGTGACTAGGTGATGTGCGCCATATAAAATGACATAGCACTGCTTGTCACCAAGAGTCGTGAAAAGGACTGCAGCAGTTTCGATGTGATCAATGGAAACAGACATAAATACTGTCTCGACAGGCGACGAAGTCGTCTACTGGTGAGCCAATGAGCGATTCAGTCGCCGATGTGGGTGATGACGCCAGACTGGATCCATTTTAGCATGTAAAAATGCAGCTAGAAGTTCTGGAAGCAACCAACTTGAGTCCTCGCCAAAAATACAAAACATGCCCATTGTGCTGAGCATCTCTTGTGTGATCTTCAGGACGAGCCAAGAGCATGTATAAAGTCTGGTAGTCTGGGAGTCCTAGTTTCAGCTTCATAGCAAACAGGTCACCCCATCTTTACTCCGCTCCCGTGCCAACGAAAAACACACAGAATGTTTATCACAGTCCCTTGTGGAAAGATTGACAGACTGCTGTCTCAGCATCTAGCATACACTCGCATTAAAGCATATGGTAGCCATCCGAAGTGCTAACACAAACAGCCAGACACTAGAAATGAAGTTCATCATTGATGGTAGCAGAAGTCACCAACAGATCTGCAGTTGCCCATGCGATCAATTTTAATCACATACGGGCACCACCAAAATTGCGACGACAGGCATCGCGCCATGTATGAAGTTTAAAGTAAGGGTGTATTGGGCATATAGGGCTAAATTTTATAGATCAATCGGCACTTAGCTGGTGATATGGTCAACATCATGCCAGTCGCCTTTATTTCCCATGATTGTAATTGGTACCCATTTGAGACTACTTTAACCTGGGAGGCAAGATCATTTATGAAAAAGGTTTTGCTCTGTCAGGACGCAAAGATACGACTTTCTGATCTGCAGGCGAGCGCCTAGCCGCTACATCACGGCAGCTCCCCAACTTTAAAGAGTCTGGCAGAAGTCAAGTGTTCCCTGGACAAAACACTCAAGTTTGATATCAATGTTGCACATGAAAACATAATGAAGACGGACAAGGTTTAGCAAGGTCGATAAGGGAAGCAAAGAATATTACACCAAAGCATGTCATGCATGTCGTAAGAGCTGCAAAACTCAGCCAATCATAGACGTGTGTAGACACCGAACGGGTGGCATGAACTAGCTGGCTGTCTTTGCTTCACTAGGGGTTAAAATGCAGAAGGTGATGCAATGAAGATGGCCGTCAGTGCAACTAGCCAATCATTCAATCGATGGTCGCTTAATGTAATCGATCACAGTAAATCTATTAACTCATCCATTATTCTAAATACTTTTGGTAATGAATCAGTAAAAACATACACACGTACCCCAGGCATGTTGTGGGATTTGGCGTCCCTCCAAAACGTATCTTTCCTGTGGCTTCGGAACATGCTCCATCAGCAACTGACGCTGGTTTTGTTGGGCAGTCTTCTCTGCTTTGAGCTGCAGCTGGTTGCCATCTTGAAGAATTGGCCAACTGACTTTAGATAGCGGATCAGGTGTCTTAGGGCTGTGGTCACCAACCAGACCCCATTGAGTTTCTTGTGTTGCACATTTGGACCAACATTGAGTGGGCATCGGGATATGGATAATGGATTCTGTGCGCAGTTTCGGAATCGGCGCTGATTTTGATATACGCCTGCAATGATTTCAAAGCACACAATCAAAATGGTAAAAATGAAAGAAATCTCAAATGCAGTAAATACAAAAAATTAATGGGTTTAAATAATTAAAAAAATAAGTTTTTGTATTTATTAAAAGTCTGCTTATAGCATTCAGAGCAAATATATAGATGATCAGCGCAGAGACTAATCGTTAGAGTAACACACACTGGTTGTTTTATGTCTAACCTGTGTAGGGTTATGATCACATTGGGCAGGGTGTGCAGAGAGTGGCCAGCGGGTGCTACAGAGGTGGAAGTCTAACAGTTGATTCACGACAATTCACGCCCAGGTGATCCGATTACCTATGCAAATGGTTCCGTGTTGAGAGGAAAAGCGAAGTGACTGGGAGTTCGTAGCGAAAGCCAGTGGAAAATCTTTAGTGCAAGACAGCCTGAAATACCACACCACAACATCTAGCATGAGAATGGAGGTGGAGGCGGACACTGCAGCTCAACGGTGGCTAGAAAAAAAGATGCATACACATTTCATAATTGTAACATACTCTGAAAGCATACTGAGAAAGGTGAAGACAGGGATGCTTCGAGCAGAGTGGCAAGCTTTACTGGAAAGACCACGGGTAGTGAGCATACTTTGGATCTTTTCTCCAGGTCATGCCGGCGTAGTGCGTGATGAACAGGCAGACAGACTGGCTAGATCTGCACCACTGGGTGGGGAATTGATACATGACAAGACAGACGTGGTCAAGGCCTTTGGGAACAAGCAACGAAATCACTAGAGATAGAAGATTTTTAAGGCTTGGAGAGAATGAGACACCTGGGTGTAACCAGAGGTCTGGCCGGCTCACTACACACAGAGGAAAGGCAAGACGGACATTTAATCAGATTGTTTCTGGTATTATCAGTATTGGAAATCTGTACTAGCTGCTGAAGATGAGGACGAAGCATGCCAGGGAATGCCCCGAGTGCTGTGATGTCAATTTTAACTCTTCTAGGTATACACCGGTCGGATCGGTTCAGTGATCTTCCCCTCACATGTCCTAAAGTACCGACATCATGTTTACTTTTTAACTCGAAAGCATAGTTAAATAAAGGATTTCATTAAGTGTGGCATCTTCTCCCAGCAGCCTTTTTACTTAATAAAATATCATTTGTGTCTATGGCGACTGTTCCCATTAGTGTTGGGCTGGAAGCTCTCAGATCCGCTCATGGCCGCAGTCACTTCAGAATGTTTAGGGTTGGTAAATAATAATATCCCGGCCACGTACACACAGACATATATACAGGTACACAGACAGACAGACAGATAGGCACACACACACACACACACACACACACACACACACACACAAAGAAATTTAAATAATAAAACGTAGTAATGAGCATACTTAGTGTGTTGTGACAGGTCTGGTGTTGTAGAACTGGAAACACCTCTTACAAAAAGTTCCGCTTGGTGTACAACAGGCTGCCCTCGGTAACCATGAAATTTGTAAAGGCACTGTAAATCTGAGGATAGAGACAAACACATGAGAATATTATCACAAAACTAGTCAGATATAAGCCTACACTAAATGTTACAAAGGTAATACGTTCGTTTTTATGTGGGAACTTGTCTAATGCAAGGCGACGAATCTCGGAATGTTAATCAACAAATGAAGCCGATCTCGAAGCTAACAGAAAAATGGTTTAAGAGACGAATATAGCAAAATGAAAACATCAGCTCTCAGATAATAAGGGCTGGCACAGGGATAAATGCCTCATACGCAACTATGAGAAAGTGTTATATGGTCACGTGTCAGCAGGAAATATTTGTAGTAGGGAGGCAGAGGCAGACTGAGGAAAATGATGGTCTAAGACAGGGACATTTTAGGACGCCATCAATAAAGATGTCTAGAATGTAACAAGAACATGACTATCAACAGCTGTGAACTGAACAAATGCCCCAAAGCCAGCTGTGAACAGACCCAAACACCCAAAACAAGATGTGAACAGACCGGAACACCCCAAGCCAGGATTGTCTGTAATGCTACAGGCTACCTCTCATCACCAGGCTACCGGCTACCTCTCACCACCAGGCTACCGACAACCTCTCACCACCAGGCTACGGACAACCTCTTACCACTAGGCTACCGGCTACCTCTCACCACCAGGCTACCGACAACCTCTCACCACCAGGCTACCGACAACCTCTCAACACCAGGCTACCGGCTACGTCTCACCACCAGGCTACCGGCAAGCTCTCACCACCAGGCTACCGACAAACTCTCACCGCCAGGCTACGGGCAACCTCTCACCCCCAGGCTACCGACAACCTCTCACCACCAGGCTACCGACAACCTCTCACCGCCAGGCTACCGGCAACCTCTCACCGCCAGGCTACCGACAACCTCTCACCGCCAGGCTACCGGCAACCTCTCACCGCCAGGCTACCGACAACCTCTCACCACCAGGCTACCGACAACCTCTCACCACCAGGCTACCGGCAACCTCTCACCACCAGGCTTCCGACAACCTCTCACCGTCAGGCTACCGGCAACCTCTCACCGCCAGGCTTCCGACAACCTCTCACCGTCAGGCTACCGACAACCTCTCACCGCCAGGTTGCCTTTAACACGAAATTCACATCTTTGAGTAAAAGCTAATTCGTGACGCCCTTTCTATACATTAAACATATTTAGTATTTAACGGAACTCACGATGCGAAGACGGCCTTCCCTTTGGTCTGTATATGTCGTTGGCAGAGGGATACCAGCCATATGTGGCTTCTTTCATTTCTGGACAATTCTGGGTGACACAGAAATAAAACAAGTTCGTATAACGCATTAAAATTATTATTGTGAACTGGATGTTAATATTCTGGCAGAAAGTCAAGATACACATATGGCGAAAAATATACTCAAACAAAAACAGGGATCACACACTTGTGCGCGCAAGCACACGTGTAATCACACACACACACACACACACACACATACACACACACACACACACGAACGCGCTCACACACACAAAGATACAGAGTGAACAGGAAAACAAGTGAATCAGAGGCCAATGATTTCAGAACAGACATGTTCATAGTTTCATTGTGTTGGCATGAGAAAAGTTTCATTTTCATCACTTTATGGTCCCAAAAGAAAGTATCGGAGATTAGCGAATAATAAAGCTTTTGACCGCAAATGACTAGAGGCACCAAACTCACACTACCATTACCCATTCGTTGTGACGAGAAACGAGAGTTCAGCTCACACTGACACAGACTTGTTCTAGGTATTGATACAGCAGATCTAAGCGTTGCAACTTAGTCTTCTAAAAGCTTTCCAGTCAGTCAACAACCATCCGACCCACCATCCAGCCAAACAAAGCATTCGCAGAGAACAAAAACCTAGTTTCAACACGTACGACCGAAACGATTGGCCAACCGATTTGATCACCAAATCCCTATCATGATGAAACATGACCGGTGATATTTTGACTAGTTGCCCATGAATAAGTGTTTTAAAAATTATTTGTATTGTGTCAAAGCATAAATCCACACTGCCTTCGTGATCTGAAGAATGAGATGCTCCACCTTTGGGGTTTTTAAACTGTCCGTCAGCTTTATTTTGCTCTGTAATTCACTTTGTCCAAATATATGAACATTTTATTTTTTGTGGGAGAAATAAAAGCCAATCTTCAACATGATAAAGATATTATTTTGACGGCATCAAAGGATACAGTTTACTGAAACTCATCATCATTGATATCTTCATCATCATCGTCGTCATCATCATCATCATCCTCACTACCGCCACAGTCAAAAGCTGCACGCTTATATTCTTGGCAGATGGAATCTCGTTCATGGCTCTCCCTACATATCGGTGCTTCGTGCTCTGGATCCTGTCTATAGATGATTTCCATTCACGTCAGTTTTTCTCATCCATCCAGCATCATTTCCCTCGGTCTGCCCTTTTCGAATCTCGCCGTTCTCCACTGCTTGTCTTCTCTCCGTTCTCCAGTGCTTGTCTTCTCTCCGTTCTCCAGTGCTTGTCTTCTCGCCGTTCTCCAGTGCTTGTCTTCTCTCCGTTCTCCAGTGCTTGTGTTCTCTCCGTTCTCCAGTGCTTGTCTTCTCGCCGTTCTCCAGTGCTTGTCTTATCGCCGTTCTCCAGTGCTTGTCTTCTCTCCGTTCTCCAGTGCTTGTCTTCTCTCCGTTCTCCAGTGCTTGTCTTCTCTCCGTTCTCCAGTGCTTGTCTTCTCTCCGTTCTCCAGTGCTTGTCTTCTCTCCGTTCTCCAGTGCTTGTCTTCTCTCCGTTCTCCAGTGTTTGACTTCTCTCCGTTCTCCAGTGCTTGTCTTCTCGCCGTTCTCCAGTGCTTGTCTTCTCTCCGTTCTCCAGTGCTTGTCTTCTCTCCGTTCTCCAGTGCTTGTCTTCTCGCCGTTCTCCAGTGCTTGTCTTATCGCCGTTCTCCAGTGCTTGTCTTCTCTCCGTTCTCCAGTGCTTGTCTTCTCGCCGTTCTTTAGTGCTTGTCTTCTCGCCGTTCTCCAGTGCTTGTCTTCTCTCCGTTCTCCAGTGCTTGTCTTCTCTCCGTTCTCCAGTGCTTGTCTTCTCTCCATTCTCCAGTGCTTGTCTTCTCGCCACACGAAGAAAGAATTAGGTCTCTGTCTTACAGTTATGTACAGAGTTCTGCATAATTGCATTACTTTAGAGGGTTCATGATGGCCACACAGAATGTCAAAAACATCCATATCAAAAACCACTAGTCCTCTACCTTCAAGCTCTGGTAATGTGTTTGTTAAATGAAAATACGATTCAACGGAACAGTTCGATGCTAAATGAGTGAGATTCATTTGGGCACATTGGTACATTTAGTCTGACTGTCACACTGGCACATTTAGGCTGGGTCTTGAAGATGTTTCGAACATATGCTCACAAGACCAGCAGATAAGCATGTTACCCGCTGAAAAATCATACCCCTCCCCCTCCAAATTGTTAATTTAATTTCATTTTTACAAATTCATACCTACACCAGGATTTGAACCAGCTCCTTCCAATTTCCCCATACCTTTTCAGTGTCATCAGGTTTTTCCATAGTCACCGAAAATAGTTAATAGATTTCCGAAGTAAATTAGCCGCCCTCCCACCCACACCCCCCCCCCCCCCCCACACGAGCTAATTATATTGTCAACAAAGCTGTAGTGGAATGATGGGCCAAACAAACCTTTGCTGCGCCAGAATACAACATGGACAATCTATACATTCTATCAAGTCATGCGAAGTCGAAGCACCAAGTAATAACCATGTATCGATCGGTATTGAATAGGTTTGATTGTGTCTAAGAATAGTAACCTTCCGCTCGGTTGGAAGCGGCTCCATGGGGCGTTAGGTGTGAACTCACCTCAGGTCTAATTATTTATGTTTGGCGGAGCTTATTTTGGGATTCTCCCGGTAGACTAAAACCTATCACATTTTAATGTTGTTGCGGTGTTGTGTTGGCTGTAAGCTCGCCATAAAAATGTCCCAGGTATCCACACTTTGTGTGCCCTCAAAGTTGAAAAAATACTCAAAAGCAACTGTACGGATTGACACGAATTTCTGAATGTAGGATTAGATCGTCAGAAGTCTGTCACCATTTCCGTCATTTCATAACCCTACTAATGGGTGGACAATCGTCCTACCCGGGACCCTTTGAACTTAACTCCATATATACCAGTGCAAACCCCATCGGTCACTCTCCGCAGCCGATCCAGGCATAGTGATCGGAAACACGGTTGTCACAGACCTAACTTTCCTGACAAGTCTAAGGCTCTGTTGTATCCCCACGACACCAATCCCTGCCACACGACGTGTCTTGTTACCGCTTTTAGACACCAGTCAACACTTCCGGTCATCAGTATATCTCTAAGACAACATTATCATGTGCCGTGTCGATAAGAGTGAGAAGGTTTGGTCTGAAATTCTACACGCTAACCAGTTTAGTAAAATCCAGTCTGTGTTTCTATCTCGACTATGCCGTGTGGCCAGGTCATGTGGGCATTTATTTATATCCTTTACTCCTTCGCCATTCAGGATGGAAGCTGTCACAAAGCCTTAACATTTTTTTCCTCCATAGAAACCTTCTTGGCGATCGGTATGTGTAGAATATTGGGTCTTGAGGCTGGGAATTTAGGTTCGCATGTCTAGTACAGTCGCCTTATACTTGAAATGTAGGTTCGCATGTTTGGTACAGTCGCCTTCTTATACTGGGAATTTAGGGTCGAATGTCTGGAACATTCGTCTTGTACTGGGGATTTAGGGTCGCATGTCTGGTACAGTCGCCCTGTACTGGAGATTTAGGGTCGCATGTCTGGTACAGTCGCCCTGTACTGGAGATTTAGGGTCGCATGTCTGGTACAGTCGCCCTGTACTGGAGATTTAGGGTAGCATGTCTGGTACAGTCACCCTGTACTGGAGATTTAGGGTCGCATGTCTGGTACAGTCGCCCTGTACTGGAGATTTAGGGTAGCATGTCTGGTACAGTCGCCCTGTACTGGAGATTTAGGGTAGCATGTCTGGTACAGTCGCCCTGTACTGGAGATTTAGGGTCGAACGTCTGGAACATTCGTCTTGTACTGGGGATTTAGGGTCGCATGTCTGGTACAGTCGCCCTGTACTGGAGATTTAGGGTAGCATGTCTGGTACAGTCGCCCTGTACTGGAGATTTAGGGTAGCATGTCTGGTACAGTCGCCCTGTACTGGAGATTTAGGGTCGAATGTCTGGAACATTCGTCTTGTACTGGGGATTTAGGGTCGCATGTCTGGTACAGTCGCCCTGTACTGGAGATTTAGGGTAGCATGTCTGGTACAGTCGCCCTGTACTGGAGATTTAGGGTAGCATGTCTGGTACAGTCGCCCTGTACTGGAGATTTAGGGTCGCATGTCTGGTACAGTCGCCCTGTACTGGAGATTTAGGGTAGCATGTCTGGTACAGTCGCCCTGTACTGGAGATTTAGGGTAGCATGTCTGGTACAGTCGCCCTGTACTGGAGATTTAGGGTCGAATGTCTGGAACATTCGTCTTGTACTGGGGATTTAGGGTCGCATGTCTGGTACAGTCGCCCTGTACTGGAGATTTAGGGTAGCATGTCTGGTACAGTCGCCCTGTACTGGAGATTTAGGGTAGCATGTCTGGTACAGTCGCCCTGTACTGGAGATTTAGGGTCGAATGTCTGGAACATTCGTTTTGTACTGGGGATTTAGGGTCGCATGTCTGGTACAGTCGCCCTGTACTGGAGATTTAGGGTAGCATGTCTGGTACAGTCGCCCTGTACTGGAGATTTAGGGTCGCATGTCTGGAACATTCGCCCTGTACTGAACAGGCAACGATGTTATGTCCCTTCGACTATATGTCTACGGGTCCTATAGTTTGAAAGCTAGTCGTTTATGATTGAAATAGCCTTACTTTTCATGTCTTCTTGCCCCAGTAACTGATTCTTCAACAGTTCATGTCTATCCACAACCTTCTGTCCCATGTACTTGCAATCAGATCAGTTCACTTTCATGCCACTATGTCAAACTAACTAGCATTTTCTCTCTCTGACACCCTCTGCCTCTTTTCTCCTCTAAGTTTCCCAGAAACATCTGGCCAAAAATAACATACTGTTATAAACTCGTTACTTTTCGGAATTTGGCTACATTACTTGATCAAAGGTAAAGAATTTCTTTCAGCTAATAAGCGAACCAAAGACAGACACCCATATCCAGTTACCAGACCGCAATGTATTAGCTATCGGTTGGAGGGTATCACCTTTCTTGTTGACAT